CCCTGTATCCCTGTATCCCTGTATCCCTGTATCCCTGTATCCCTGTATCCCTGTATCCCTGTATCCCTGTATCCCTGTATCCCTGTATACCTGTATCCCTGTATCCCTGTACGCCTGTATCCCTGTATTCCTGTATCCTGTATCCCTGTATTCATGTATCCTGTATCCCTGTATCCCTGTATCCCTGTATCCCTGTATCCCTGTATCCCTGTATCCCTGTATCCCTGTATCCCTGTATCCCTGTATCCCTGTTTCCCTGTATTCCTGTATCCTGTATCCCTGTATCCCCATGTATCCCTTAATTAGCTAGCAGCTGCAAGGTCTATTAACATAAATTATAGAATTTACGTTACATAGGTAAACACAACATGGTTCATGAAATTGAGTCCGAAATGGAAACTGTAAAAGATAATTAATTGACCTTTTTTTATTTTTTAATAAATTATCATATTTCATCCAACACAGTTTGTATATTTTTTTATTTATTCTTTACAGTCTATCTCAAGGGGAAATTAATTATTGACTATTATTTTGTAAAAATGTATGAATATGGCATCTTCTCCAATGAAAGCTTGTTAGCTAGAAAAATATACTTACAGAGGTCAACAGTGTGTCTAATTTCATATCTGAGTATGCAGTTTGCAAGAGTTCAAAGATGTTTCAAAAATACTTGTTCAAGGTTGTAATGCAAGGAACATTATTTCAGAGGTGGGCCTATCTTTTGTAATGCAGTGTACTGTCTTTGGGCGGAAATGTAAACACAAGTCGGATATCACAGCCTGACATGGGATCCATCTTTCACATAAAAAATCAATGAAATTTTGGGGTCATAGGAAACCATTATGTGAATTATCAAAATTATCCAAATTTAATGCTTTTATCCTCCTCGGATACTAAACGAACATTGTTGCATCTATTCTTGTTTCAAATTCCGCCCAGAGAGAACTGGTTTCAATATGTACACAGAGCATACGCGACTGCAATTAACTTTCCTTGCATTATAACCTTGATTTTGTTCAAGATTTTAGAATTGAGTCTTTGACACAAACTTCAATTTTCTAATCACTATTTCTTTGCAATCTTATTTGATCTTTCAGAATTCATTGATTGAAATATCTAAAGTCTATGAAATTGGGTTTCAAAGATATTGGGATTACAAATTCAGAGCTTGTGACGAAGACTCGATTCTCTTTTTCTATTGTATCGACAACATTACGTCATCCATGAGGAATCTAGAAATTAATAAATCTTAAACTAATTAATTTTAAAATAGTTTAATTCTGAGGTGATTTGGAATTAATGGTTTAATGGAACTTCACTTTCGATCCATTTCGGTTTATTTGTATCACTTTAATCACTGTATTAGTTTCAGTAGAAGTAAATATTTCAATTTACTGTTTAGCCCCGATATAAGGATTCAAATCTCTAATTGGATAATGAGATAAATAGAAAGATAGATGTTACCGTCATGCATTTTCTGTTGGTTCAGAATAGACAACAAACACACGACTTAACCCTGATTGGTTCAGGCGCTAATGAAATCGCATACACATGTGTAATATAAAGCGTTACAAATTGATCATTAAAGCATAACAGGTTCAGTACGATATATTTGATGGTTTTAAAGGAGTTGAATTTCATATGCAGCCGGGAAATTTTTAAAAATAGATAGTTTCTGAGATTGATTTGAGGACACCCTGTAGGATGATATGTATTTCTGGACACCCTGTAGGATTTCATAGATTTCAGGACACCCTGTTGGATAATATGGATTTCCTGACACCTTGTAGGATGATATGGATATCAGGACACCCTGTAGGATTTCATGGATTTCCTGACACCCTGTAGGATATTATGGATTTTTAGGACACCCTGTAGGATAATATGGATTTTAGGACACCCTGTATATTATGATGAGGGGGGGGCATGAATGGTTAAAGCATGAAATATCTGCTAGCATACCAACATGGCTTCTATACGGTATATCTAGAATGCAAGGTATTTATAATTCTCAAACCAATCATTTTTCAGGAATGAATATATCTGAAAAAATGTAAAATATTTTTTAAAAAAATTTATCCATTCTTAAAAAACTGGAATTTTAAATTTTTGATTTTTATTTTAACGTAAATTTTTACCCCTGAATATCGTTGAATTTACTAGTGTTGACCTGTTCATCTCTAAGGGTTAACAAGAACTTTTATGGAGAAGTGAAGAAAACAATACGATATATACATTCTTTATCATACATTCTTTATCATACATTAGCTTGGGAACCCAGCGTTGCCCAGCATACTCATAGACCACAGTTACTCCAGCTGTTTACCCGCACTTAGTCTTAAATTACGATTTTATCTATTTTTTGCCCCACTCAACTTAGAATCCCATGGTTCTCCCAAGTTTGTTAATAAAATTTTTAGGGAAATAGGTCCAGGGGTTTATGAGTTCTGATCCGACATCCAAACAAACATATGAACAGAGATAACTACTTTATATAAATAGATATATAAACATTTACATATACAATATACACATACATTTAAGGTAATTACACAATATACTTAAAAATGTATAATACTGAAGACAAGAGAAAGAGAATATTAAAGCATAATGTGTCCATTCAATTAATTCGATTCACAGTTGGTTTTTCCTGTGTTCATGTATACTTGACTATTTAAAATTATAACTTGAGTTTAAAAGTCATATTCCACCAAGGTTATAATGCAAGGAAAGTTACTTCAGATGTGTTCAAATCTTTTGTACTGCAGTGTACTGTCTCTGGGCGGTAATGTAAACACAAGATGGATGTCACAGCCTGACATGGGATCCATCTTTCACAAAAAAAATCTATGAAATTTTCTGGTTATAGGAAACTATTATGTGAATCATCAAACCAGAGAGAACTGGGTTCAATATCTACGCAGAGTATACGCAACTGCAATTAACTTTCCTTGCATTATAACCTTGTATTCCACAATATTTGAATGTAAAAGCGTTATTTAGTTTACGATATATATGTGTGTGCTATAAATAGTCTACAAACGTAATTTTAAGAGACTCTATATGCAATAAAATTGGCATGTCCGATTCACTTAAGTGCCCTCTGAAATGCAGCAGCGACAGAAAAAGACGTCACAGCAGTGCTAGTCACCTATCTACATTAAATCATGCTTAATAAATATTTAAAATACTAAATATTTTGAACTCCACTTTGTTGAAGGAAAATAGTTTTGAGTATTTATTATCATATTTACAGGTCAATACTTCTTCCTTTAATCTTATAACAAACAGTATTCTTGTTCTTGTTCTCGTTCTTGTTCTTGTTATTGTCATTGTTCTTGTTCTTGTTATTGTCATTGTTCTTGTTCTTGTTCTTGTTCTTGTTCTTGTTACTGTTCTTGTTCTTGTTCTTGTTCTTGTTTTCGTTCTTGTTCTTGTTATTGTCATTGTTCTTGTTCTTGTTCTTGTTCTTGTTCTCGTTCTTGTTCTTGTTCTTGTTCTCGTTCTTGTTCTTGTTATTGTCATTGTTCTTGTTCTTGTTCTTGTTCTTGTTCTTGTTCTTGTTCTTGTTCTTGTTCTTGTTCTTGTTCTTGTTCTTGTTCTTGTTCTTGTTCTTCTTGTTCTTGTTCTTGTTGTTGTTGTTCTTCTTCTTCTAGTTCCTGTTGTTGTTGTTGTTGTTGTTGTTGTTGTTGTTGTTGTTGTTGTTGTCGTTGTTGTTGTTGTTGTTGTTGTTGTTGTTGTTCTTCTTCTTCTTCTTCTTCTTCTTCTTCTTCTTCTTCTTCTTGTTGTCGTTGTTGTTGTTGTTGTTGTTGTTGTTGTTGTTCTTCTTCTTCTTCTTCTTCTTCTTCTTCTTCTTCTTCTTCTTCTTCTTCTTCTTAAATTTGCTACCGACAACTGAACTTCATCATTATTCCCAAATTCTTTAAAGGGTTAAGACGTAAATCTACGTATAATATATACACAACCCAGGAATGTAGTATCTATTTAAAATGTATTGAATTCCTGAATTTTTTAACAGGGATTTAAATAAATTAGGGTTGACTTAAGTATAATTGGTTTGAAGAATATGGAATTAAGAGAAAAAAGCACATAGTTCACTTCAGACCATCAGGGTTCATGACTTTATAGATTATAAATCATTAGTTATGAAAATTGTTAATTTCATTACAAAACAGAAACAGAAATTATACTACAAATTATAAGGGATAAAAGAAAAATACAAAATATTAATAAAAGAGCAGAAATGGCAACGGACTGTTAAAAATAAAAAGAATTGGGGGGGGGGGAAAGAGGAGGTATGATTTAAGTTAAATAAAAACTAGTGCAAATTTTGCAAAGTAGTTTTTCTTGAGTCATGTATTTGTCCAGACTCTTTCATTATGATTGACATGAGAATTTACTAAAAACTCATTTTGCAGATTTTTGCAAGAATTTTTGCGGATTTTTGGTTTGTACACTTGACCTTTAGGCCAGAGATGTGTCAGGTTAATAAACCCACTGTCAGATCTTGCAATTTCATAGGGAACCTCTCACCATATATATGTATATAGGGCTGTGCAAAGTTCCGATAAGAAACGGACGTTATTGAAATATTTGTAAATACTTTAAAGTTAACAACGAACCAACATGACTTTAGTTGTTATTTAAAAAAATTGTTACCAGGTATTTGGGTAATGTACATTGTACATTGTACATGCCTGAAAAGTGTAATTTTATAACTTTTACAACCAAAACCCTTACATTAGATGGGCTAGACAAAGCTTGGTTAATAATCATAGGCTTAAAGAACAGATGGACATGACGTTAGAATTAATTTCAGCAACAATAACGATGACAATTGGATTTGAAAAATTACCAACATCTTTCAGTCCCAACTAAATGCGATTCATCTATACTATCTGAGGCCGAATTTGAAGAAATTGAGCCGCGGCCTAAATTTGAGCCGCGGCTCAAATATTGTTGGTTCCACTTAAAATTGTATTCAGTTTTCAAGATTTAAGCCGGCGCTCAATTGAAACCGGTTTTTGGATGATTTAAGACGCGGCTTCAATTAACTAAATTCGGACACTGTACACTCAAAATCCATTTAAATTATAATCATTGGTTTAAATTAACCTTGCACTTTTGGAAATTGCAGTTTGAGAATTTATATACGTTTATCTGTTCAAACATTGAAAAATTAAATTTTTTAGAAGCAGTTTATATTATAAATAATGCATATTACAACTTTTTAATGGGACGTAAACGTAATTAACTTTATTGATAGGGATTGGATGGGGTGTACGATTGACACCTTTTCAACTAAAAAAAACATCTTTCACATTATTGCTAAAATAAAGGCTCAAAGGGTACTGTTGTAAATCGGTGAGCCCCTCTTCATGCAAATGAAGGTCAATCAAAGTAAAAACTTCAGTTTCTTTAATAGGATAACACATTTCAATTAATGATTTACTTTTACATGGTATTTACGTACAGTAAGAACCAGAAAACTCTGGAATAAGACGACAACTTTTAGACTCAAGTTATGACTTTTATTAGTACAATAAACATGAGACACAGCAATTAAGCAGTGTAAACAGACCCGTTTCACTTAATAACTGATTTAATAGGTTATTGGTAAAACTATATGCTTTGCAACAACATCAAATCTACTATTCTACAGTTTTCTGGTTTTCAATGTAAAAAAAATAATTTTAATTTAAAATTGGCTTAGTGCAGGATTTAACGAGTCTGGGGAAAAAATGTCAGCATTGGAGTACTATTGGAGATCCCCATGGGGAAAATCTGTGGTCTCCAATGAACATCTTGGGGTCTTCAATGAAAATGTGGGGGTTAATAAAAATCTGGGGATCTCCAATGAAAATCTGGGGGTCTTTAATACGAATCTGGCGGTCTCCCATGAAAATCTTGGGGTCTCTAATGAAAATCTGGGGGTCTCCAATGAAAATCTTGGGGTCTCCAATGAAAATCTGGAGGTCTCAAATGAAAATCTGGGGGTCTCCAATGAAAGTCTGGGGGTGTCCAATAAAAATCTGGGGGTATTTAATGAAAATCTTGGGGTCTTTAATACAAATCTGGGGGTTTCCAATGAAAATCTGGGGGTCTCAAATGAAAATCTGGGGGTCTCCAATGAAAATTGGAGGGACTCCAATGAAAATCTGGGGGTCTCCAATGAAAATCTGGGGGTTTCCAATGAAAATCTGGGGGTCTCAAATGAAAATCTGGGGGTCTCCAATAAAAATCGGAGGGTCTTTAATGAAAATCTGGGGGTCTCCTACAAGAATCTGGGGGTCTCATCCAAGAGCTCCATGGGGGCCTCCAATAGTACTCCAATGATCATGATTTTTTCTCAGACTCTGAATTTACTCATTCCCAACCCAACAAATGTTTGTTTTTTCATCTCCCAGTACCAGCTGGATCCAGGAAGCTAAACTTTTCATCCTAAAAATTTAAATTTAAATTTAAAAGGTTCAGCCATTATGAGGTTTATACTCTACATACAGGGACTGCAAGTGAAAACGTCTCAAATGAACTGCCATTTGAAGAATTACATGCCCATATACACTACAGGACCCTTTTATTTAACAATCATTAACTGTGGTATTTCTAAAAAGATACCTGCGGATATGTGAATTACAGCCAAGGAAGGAAATAGACAGATTTTTTTTCAAGATAGAAAAATCAATTATTGTTGGATGTTAAGGGTAAGGTTTTGTGTATCAGGCATTTAGAAAAAATAAAAAAATATTTTCTGAGTCTGGTATTTGATTAATTAAGTTTTACCTGACATAATGAGTAGGATTATTTATTCCTCCGCACCTACCAAGCTCCCCATGCCCTCCGCTAACTGTCCCTAATAATTAAGTAGGGAGTATGTCATTTCTATGAACAACAAATATATTATTGAAACAGTTAAAACCCTAGACATAAGGTCAAGTAACCCTCCATGCAAAGATGACAAATCCCGATTTACAATAGTACCCATGAAACCCGTGTTAAAGTCTAATAATTTCCATATGTTTTCTTTAAGTAGAAATGTGCAAGTTGATTTTGAAGAGAATCCACAATTGAAAATAATCCGTTTTAGAATTATAAACAATGATATATAATTTCAGACGTAGCTTTTAAGGGTGCAGTTGTGAAAAGGGCTTTGACATCTTTGCATGGAGGGTTACATGAAATTATGCTTACAGTCAATTTAGATTCTTATGAGATATAAACTATTATTCTCTTCTGAAAATCTGTTGTTATTAAACAGAGGCAGGGAGTTTGCCTCAATGAGAGGTCTAAAAGACAACAATATTAATTATCAAAAATAAGAAAAAATGTATAAACCTAAAACCACAAATCTTCCAGATTTAATGTCTTTCACATAAACAGGTCCTCCTGAAAACAAAACAATTGGAGTTAAATTTAAAAAATTTAATGATTAAAAAGCAAACAAGAATACACACCTGAATCTCCGGAACATGGCCCTACTGATGTTACAAAGAATGACAGATCTAGGAATTAATCTGTACAAACATTTAGTTAAAGATTCATCAATGTTTTAATGTTACCTGACCCAATATGAGAAAAGGTAGTATCTTTTTTAGTATACTTTTCAGTTATACTAGAACCCAGTTTTCCAATGCAAAGTATTTCTGGACGGAAAGAAACAGCAGCATTTCGAAGTGCTGTGTTTAAGAACTCTACACAAGTGTGATCATCTAATATATCAACTTGATCAATTCTTCGCAATACATCAAAATCTGGCTCTAAGTCAGTTAGGTTGTTTCTTAAGAAACAATCTTCACTACAGAATCCCCAAGATTTAGCATTTTTCAAGACTCCAAGCGTATTTGCATCCGTATCTACATCACACCAACCATATGAACCTACTATGCCAGATGAAGCTCTATAACAGTTTTCCTCAGTATTATTGATCTTGATAGCAATTTTGTAGACATTATCAGGCATTTTATAAACTGTTTGCTGCCTTGAGAAGAATTCCTCACACTTTGAGTTTTGTGGAGGAGCACTTTTAGTTAAACAATTAGTGTTTGATCGACAGTAATGATATCTTGAAGGTCCAAGGGCATCTGTAAGACAGTAATCAGAAGCTCTGTAGTATGCTCCATATCCAGCTAAGCTTGCATTTATATTGATATTATATCCAGGCCCAATCCCTGAATCTTTGAACCTGATACCAGGAAGACAAGCGGGAGTTTGGAAAGCTGAAATTGTTAAATGTAGAAGTGTTATATCAAATCCACCATAGGTTCCATATGACCCTCCACCCCGGTAACTATGTTTATGGCGTATTATGTAATCTATCTCTATAGACTGCCCTAATTTGACATCCTCGTAGCTGTTGACATTGTTTACACCAAGATAGGCTACACCAGTTGGATTTATCAATTCTATTTTTATATTATCATCTGCAGTATAAGTGCATCTCACCCTTCCATTGAACCTGGAGGTTTAGAGTTGTGAAAAGTGTTTTTTTCAAGAATCTGAAGATAAATAAAACTTAACTAAGCTGCTTACTTGTTAGAAAATGTTGATGTTCTGCTTAGATTTAAACATTTTTCAATGTCTTGAGTGTCAACAACATTAAGTATACAATGGGCTGCACTCAGTATTATTGTGGGTGTTATCAGAGAACCTAAATTCAAACATATATTTTGCCTGTCTATAGATATAAAACACACCCTCTATGAACTCTTTCATCAAAGCTCATTTCACCCACAACTGTTAAAAATTATTAACAATCAGCATGATCAGGATCATACATTGTTAACAATTGGACATCATAATTAACATGCACTATCATTAGCAGGCAACCATTGATACCAGTAGGAATCTTAAATAATCATAAACATATGGAGCAACAAAGAATAAATGAGGAAGGAAACATCCACCTCATTACCCTTGTTAAAGAAAGTGGATTAAAGGATGTTTAATAGTAAATGATATATCCTGTCTGAGTCATCATTGGGCATGGACCAAATTTATTAATAGCAAGAAGTAGTTGAACTGCATGATGTTCAATTGCTTCAACCACTAAGTGATTGAACAAAGTCTTTATGGTTCAACCATGTCTTGCTAATCATTAAATTTTTATCTGAGATTGACTAGGTTATGCTCTTGACTCCCAAAGTTAGTGTATATTTTGTGTATTTTCTAAAAGGCATAGATTCCCTTTAAATGATACTCAATACAATACAATATTCATTTAGAATTTAGAGATGTACATAGCATATTGCACATGCCCTTTTTTCACCTGTACAAGTTGTGAAACGCAAACTATAGTTAAAGACTGCAGGATTGTAAGCAACTAAAAATGGAATGCTGTCCACATTCCCTCTTGTAGCACCAACCAGTCTCAGTCCTTCATCATTAACTGCCTCATCTGCTGCATTTTCATCATACACATAAGCAAACTCATCCTTATTAACATAGCTTCAGAACTGTCAAAACCGAAATTATATTGACAACACCATTCAGTTATTTTTGTCTTTGCTTGAGTTTAGAAAATGTCCCGTAGGGACACTAAAAACTTAACATCCTACTTTCGGAGGAATCATTGCCAAATAGGCAAATTTAAAATATAGCTAATTTGCAATAATAATTTTTCCTATAGAGGCTTATTTAATATTAAGTACTTTTACTATGTTTGCCTTACATATTTGATCAGTGTGAAAACCTACATATGCAACTGTGAGAACCAATAACAATATAAATAGGACATTAACGGTTAAACAATTTGGGGAAAGATTTGTTAGAATGAAATTTAAGAATGATGTTAATGCTGAATTTGTAAAATAGGCAGCAAGGTTATTTAAAACAAATGCTACACAAGCTTTAAAGTCTAGGGATTATTATTATTATTTATTATGGATAAAAATCCAAAGTGATCCCAGTCTTACAATTATATTTACAATTAAGATGCATCTAAGCTGTAAAAAATTTACAATAAAAAAGTTAATTTTGTTTGTTGTCAGAGTGATATCAACACTTACCGTTATTACTCCAGCAGCTAGGAAAATCACTGACAATGAAACAATCATAACATGAATTGTTTTGAATTTGTGCAAGTGATCTTTATTGTTAGTTTGGATTGTTTATCTACATGTTTTTAGCCTTTGATAATCTGATTGATGTTTGAGCTAAAGACAGGTTATGACTATAAATAAAACAAATCTAATCTATTCATTGAAATTATTACAAGCAGCTTGGAAAGGGGTGCTGAAACAGTTTTTTCCTTAGTGAAATATGTATTTCTTTAATATTATCATCTTTAATTAATTTATAAATTATTTATTTTACATTGAAAATTAATAATAGATGGGACTCAAAGAAGTTCATTGTAAGGATTTTGATTCTACTGGAGACCATCAGAGCAGAGGGATTTTATTTTCACTGGAGGGGTTAAAATAATGCTTTTAACAATTTAAAACTTTACGCATGGTGATTTACATTCCATTCAGATATCTTTCCTGGGGGGTTATAATTTGACTGGAGGGATTCAGTTCTCCTTCCTTGGGGTTTATAATTCCACTGGAGGGATTCAGATATCCTTCCTGGGGGGTTATAATTCCAATAGAGCGATTCAGTTAATCTTCCTAGGGGTTTATAATTCCATTGGAGGGATTCAGATATCTTTCCTGGGGGTTTATAATTCTACTGGAGGGATTCAGATGTCCATCCTGGGGGGTTATAATTCCAATAGGGCAATTCAGTTAATCTTCCTAGGGGTTTATAATTCCACTGGAGGGATTCAGATATCTTTCCTGGGGGTTTATAATTACACTGGAGGGATTCAGATATCTTTCCAGGGGGCTTATAATTCCACAGGAGGGATTCAGATATCTTTCCAGGGGGCTTATAATTCCAATGGAGGGATTCAGATATCTTTCCTGGGGGTTCATAATTACACTGGAGGGATTCAGATATCCATCCAACGTGTTTATAAATCCACTGGAGAGATTCATATATCCTTCCTGGGGGTTTATAATTTCACTGGAGGGATTAATAAATCCTTCCTAGGGGTTTATAATTCCACTAGAGGGATTCAGAAATCCTTCCTATGGGTTTATAATTCCATTGGATGGATTCAGATATCTATCTAGGGAGTTTAAAAATCCACAGGAGGGATTCAAAAATCTTTCCATGGGGGTTTATAAACACCCATGGAAAGATATGCGAGTCCCTACAGAGGAATAAACACACTGGAAAGATATATAACCCCCCAGGAAGGATATGTGAATCCCTCTAGTGGAATTATAAACCCCCCAGGAAGGATATCTGAATCCCTCCAGTGGATTTACAGCCCCAATGGAAAGATGTCTCAATTCCTCCAGTGTAATTATAAACCCCTAGGAAAGATATCTGATCAGACCATTGGATTTACAGACCCAATGGAAAGATGTCTGAATCCCTCCAGTGGAATTATAAACCCCTTGGAAAGATATCTAAATCACTCCAGTGGAATTGTAGACCCTCTGAAAAGATATCTGAATCCCTCCACTGGAATTAGACACCCCCAGGAAGGATATCTGAATCCCTCAAGAGGAATTATAAACCCCTATTATGAAGGATATCTGAATCACTCCATTGGAATTACAGACCAAATGGAAAGATGTCTGAATCCCTCCAGTGGAATTATAAACCCCTAGGAGGGATATATGAATCCCTCAAGTGGAATTTTAAACCCCTGGAAATATTTCTGAATCCCTCCAGTGGAATTTTAAACCCCCTAGATAGATATCTGAATCCCTCCAGTGGATTTTTAAACCCCCTAAATAGATATCTGAATCCATCCAGTGGAATTATAAACCCCTAGGAAGGATATCTGAATCACTCCATTGGATTTACAGGCCCAATGGAAAGATTCTCAATCCCTGCAGTGTAATTATAAACCCCTAGAAAGGATATCTGAATCAGATCATTGGATTTACAGACCAAATGGAAAGATGTCTGAATCCCTCCAGTGGAATTATAAACCCCTTGGAAAGATATCTAAATCACTCCAGTGGAATTATAGACCCTCTGGAAAGATATCTGAATCCCTCCAGTGGAATTATACACCCCCAGGAAGGATATCTGAATCCCTCAAGAGGAATTATAAACCCCTATGAAGGATATCTGAATCACTCCATTGGATTTACAGACACAATGGAAAGATGTCTGAATCCCTCCAGTGGAATTATAAACCCCCTGGAATGATTTCTTAATCCCTCTTGTGAAATTTAAACCCCCTAGGAAGGAAAACAGAATCCCTCCAGTGGAATTATAAACCCCTAGGAAAAATATCTGAATCCCTCCAGTGGAAGTACAAACGCCTAAGAAGGATAAGTGAATCCCTCCAGTGGAATTATAAACCCCCTGGAAAGGTATCTGAATCCCTCCAGTGGAATTATAACCCCCTAGGTAGAATATCAGAATCCCTCCATCGGAATTATAACCCCCCTGGAAAGATATCTGAATCCCTCAAGTGGAATGTAAATTACCCTGCATAAAGTTTTAAATTGTAAAAACCATTTTTTCAAACCCCTCCAGTGAAAATGAATTCCCTCTGGTGATCTACAGAAGAGTCAAAATCTTACTACAAACTTCTGTGACTCATTAGATGGAGAAATCTTACGTATTTTGTTTCTTGATACATTTATTTTTGTTTATTATTGTTTTTGATTTATAAGAAATGTTTTGCAGTAATGTGGTTTGTCTTTGCGTTTTATTTTGAGAAGGTGATGAAACCGTATGAACTATTTATTGCATAGTTTTTTTCTTCTCATTTTTAGAACAAATAACTATTTTTGTTAGCTGTGATGCTGTACTGTACTGTACTATTTTTCATTATTTACACACACAAAAATGTACTATCAAACAAGTTACCATTTAGCAAGGTTTAGCATTTTCCAAATATTTATTTCCATGACACAATGCTCATTAGTCTAGAATAATGTATTTGGCAATTAAATCTTTATATAAAAATGCAAATACAGTTACCATAAAACTATAAGTAAAACAGATTTTCCTATTTTTAAACTGTTAAAATGAAAATAAAACTGAATATTATGGAAATTATTAGACATGTATATATTGTTAAATGTTTATTCTTGATTTCCTTCTGACATTCTGACTTTGCAATGACAAATTCAGAATTTTAAGGGCCAGATAATTGAGCACGGAATTTCATATGATTGAACAAAATAACAGACATTGCAAACCACCTTTGAGGAAGTTAATTTTTTCAGCTATTTCTGAAATCAAGATATGCTAAAATTATAGAAAATGTTTATTTATATTGTTTCCAATCTTCATACAGTGAAACCTTTAATAACGAATACATCGAAAGAATTCATCAAATGTTGTATTCTTTGCTTTCTGATAATGGAATGTTGCAGATATTTAGTTTTTTAATGAAATGATTATATGGAACTCTTTAAAACTGTTTCCACATATTCATGGCTATTTATTTATTTTCGAAAATACTGAAATTTACGCAATATAGTATAAAACTCATTGAAAAATTGTCAAGAAGACATTTGATAAATTCTTTGGATGTATTCGTTATTAAGGGTTTCACTGTAGTTCAGTTAACCCACTGGGATGAAAAGATCAATATCTATCTAATAAAAAAAAACCAAACATCTTTTCTAGACTTTTTGGTGACTTATTCTGATTTAATTTTCATAATTGTGATAAAGATTCTTCATCAAAGGGTTTTACATTTTTTCCATAGCCATTACTAATTTTTTTAACATTTAATATTTTTTCCAAATTGTATATAAGTTAAAATAGATGATGGTCAAAGCAGTTAAACAGCTTGCTCACACATGTTCAAACACCCTGTCAAAGTTCTTGCTTAACATCATTTTCTGCGCTACTCTTCTTTTTCTCCAATTTTCATCCTTGTGATATCATGTTTTTGATAGCCATGTTTATTATCACTAATGTTTCCGGTGATTTTTACTAAAGATTACTTATGATCATCATTTTTTATAAAAATCTAAATAATTTGTTTTGTCGTTAGTTTCTCAAAACTAAATAAATAACATTTTCTTAATCATTGTCTAAATATTTATGCTTGTTGCGGTTCTGACCAAACCTATAGTAGTTACTTTTCAAGGAATTTATAGGATCCATCAGGGTTCAGGTAGATTTAAGTTTGGTGATGGTGATGAACCAAACCTCTGTAGAGAAAATAAAGAAGATTTTAGTTCCACATTTTATTGAAAATATATTTCCACCACAAGAAAATAAGCAAACAAAAATGATTATTTAAAAAAAAATTAAAAATGAACTGTCAAATTGACAAAGGGGAAACAAACTAAGATCATGAGATGGAGGAAAGATTATTTGCAAATATTCACTTTTTAAAGAATGTTTTAAGAAAATTTGTATTCCTTAAGATTGGTGGTGGGGGTTGATTTAATTAATGAACTTTTACATAAATCAGGGGGGGAGGGGGGTAGCTTGTCTAAGGAGGGGTATTTAATCCTATTAAATAAACAATGCTCTTTTTTAAAATTATAATCTTGCATATTTTTTTATCAGATTAGTATATTGCACCTAAAACATGATTGGCCACAACCCAAAATATTTTTCCACCCTTGCACTGTTTAACAGATTAAGTAAGAATTAAACTGACATTGCATACAAGTTGTTTGATATTCATGTAGATTTATTAAATAAACATAATAGAATTTAAGAGCAGTAAAAGGTTTCATGTCAAATATAACTAATTTTTTAACGATTGTGATGAATTTCCAATGATGCATAAGTCTTCTGAGTCTGCACCAACAGCAGATATTATCCAATCAACCAGCTTACTAAATCTAATAAATAGATAACTGCATAAATTTACGTCTTTGGTAGGTTAAGAGTATTTGAGGCCACCAAGGTTCTCAGAATTCAAGTAAAGTCAAAAACCTAGATTTTAGAAAACTGTAATTAACAGTATTAAATGTTCCAAAATTCAAGAATAAAAGCAGCAACGTTATTTCCCAAAAGATTATTTAAACAATTTTTTTCTGTTGAAAAATGTACATTTTTATGAAGACAACTTTGTTAATGGAACATTACTTTTTATATTATCCATATAATAAAATAAGACCTTCATAAATATATATATATGTTGCTTATAGCCAGCCAAATGGCTGGACAGATTGGGCTGAATTTTTTTGTGGACACTCAGGGGTGGCCGGGGGTTTTATTTTTTTTTCCCACGGGCAACGCCAGGCCCTTCAACTAGTATGTCATAAATATAATTTATAACATTCAGCTGGAGGTTAGTAAGAAATTTCTGAAGATTGTAAAGTCATTAGAAAACTATAAACTGTTATACCTTGAATAATGTGTTGGATTGTTTATTCCCCCACAATTTGATAGTAAACCTCTTCCACCGCTGACAGCCCCTGCATATTAATTTAATTTAATATTAAAATGGATTAATTTCACAGATATTAATGTTTTGGGCTTGTTTAACATGGTGTACACATCACTTATCCATGTTTTATCTACTCTAAATATTTCACCATAAATCTAACTTTTCTTACTATTACTTTTTTGTTGATACAGAAATTATTTCTGCCTAATAAGCAGTATGTATAGCTAGTTTTCTGCAAGGAAAAAAAATAGCCTTTAAATTTAGTTAAAACCGAAAATATCAAAAGATAATATGATAATATCAAATGATAACATCAAAATAACATCAACTCACCTAGAACTACAAATTTTCCAGTTTTTTCATCTCTTATAAAAACTGGACCACCTAAGATATAAGTAATACAGTGTTTAAATATTAATTATTTATCCTTAAGTTTTAAACCTGAATCCCCATTGCAAGTACCAGCAGATGTAACATAACGGTAATATTCTAAAAAATACATTGTTATTAAAATTGTGGTTTTTATGAGAGTTTTTAAAAGTTTACACCTACCAAATTTTCCTCTCCTAACCTTTCCATCAGCTAAGAGTTGGTAGGTCCTAATTCTTTTCTTTTTGTAGTAACCAATGCACAAAATCTCTGGCTGGTGTTTAGGAATTACAGTTGAAAAAGAAGCTAACAAGAACTTATTACACATTTCATTAGAAAGGATGTCAATGCCCTCCTTAATTCTTAACACTGAACTGTCAGGCTCAATATTTTCCCCTTCCCTTAGAAAACAATCTTTTCCACAAAACCCCCAAGAGTCTGTTGATTGTATTCTTCCAATGGTCGAAGCATCATCTGTGACAGGGCACCATCCTTTTGATTCTTCCTTAAATGATGTTGTGCGGAAACAATCAAATTGCAAGTCCCTTATGGTTATTTTATACAAATCTGTGTCGCTGAACTCATTTTCAATTTCAGGATTATCAGTGAAAAGCTTTTGGCATTCTTCAGTCACAGGAGGATTTACATCCGTATTACATTCAGAGTCTTCAACACAGTAATGGTTTAGAGATGGACCAAGATCATCTGTCATACAAGGAGACCTGTAATACCTTCCAAACCCTGCAAGCATAACATTTTGAATGTTGTCAAAGCCAGTTCCTAATCTTGAGTCTATGAAGTCACCAGACGGAAGACAGGCTGGTTCTGTATTAGTTGGTGAAGCTAATCTGAGTACAGTGATATCATACCCTCCAAATGTACCATAGCTTCCACCCCCTCTGTAACTATTCTTATGGCGTACAACATATTCTATTGGAAGCTTTTCTCCTTTAGAAACATCTGCCACTTCATTGACATTAGATATACCAATATATGCAAAAACCTTAGGTTCAATTGGATATATGTGTATGTCTTCTGCCTCTGTAATCACACACTTTACTTTTCCTTGCGTTCTGAAATTTTATTTAAACTTTTACTGTAACAATACAATTTTATCTGTATTTGAAAGAACAAGATCTGTTTTTTAAAATTGATTTTAGCTAATAATCATTGCTAAAGTGTATTTATTGAATGCATGTGTACTGAAAGATAAAGAAAGGATTTGAATTTAAATTTAAACTGGCCATAGGCAGTTTCAATTCAATAATAGGATAAAATTGTTTTTAAAACTGCTGATATGGAGGACTTGGAACCTTGATATAAATAATGAGAAACTGCATTGCTTCTTCAGTCTTGTCAAAACTTAACTAACTTGGGGTTTGTGAAAGGTTGCCCATTTGCAGTCTCCTCCACACATGCCTTCAGGTCCTTTGTGTCAACCAAGAATAAAATACAATGGGCTGCACTGACTATCCAGTCTTTTGAAATAAGTGACCCTAAATTAGCATTTATTTAAATTTTAAACTAATATAATGTTTGGGCTAAGTTAATTCAACAAATGGAAATTGAAAGTTAACAGAAATTCCCAGCAATGAATTAACCATCTATGTACGAAGCAGTTGATATTGACAGCTCACTTTAGTCACCCATTACCCCCTTTTCAGTATACAAATTAATTTGTTTTTTAAAGTTTTGCGTAACTTGAGAACCCAGAAACCAAGTTCAAGCATATTTTTGCTTGTTTTTGTTTTTATTCAATGAAGATCTTGATATGTATTGAGAGGATACAACAAAAATGTGAGACCCCCTCCACTTTTTTACAAATTTAACATTTTCGTGATATGTCAAAAGTAATTACTTTTTATATAATTTACATTTTAATGGTTACAATTATTGTTTTAGTATCATTTTGGCAGCTTTTTGAGCGGTTGTTATCGACTGCTTTGCACATGTGGGGCCCATAACAGAAGGGCAAAATAGATGGCTTCCCCAAGTATCAGAATAATATAAACTGCATTGTTCTTTATATTCTCATTGATAATGATAATAAGAAGGTAGGGATGGGAAGGGATGGGTGGGATGGTAAAGAAGGGATGGATTGGATAGGAAGGGAGGGATAAGATATTTGAACTACAAACAAGCTGTTTTCAATGTTTAACTGTAGATAGATTTACTTTTAATAGAAAAAATTACAAACTTTGCTTTGTTCCGGAGCGGTCGATTTAAGCCATTTTACAATCCTGTGTTGACGAAGTGGTCAATATCGACCCCTGCCCCTATTTCTAAAACTATGCATTGTATGAAAAAAATAAAAATAGTTCTGTTCCTCAGGGAACATTTCTAAAAAAAATTGAAAATTTGAAAAAAATAATTTGAAAAATATTAAGTTGGGACATAGACGGTTAAAAGAATTATAAATTGGTTATTGGAAATAAGCAGAAAGAACAGCTTATTAATAAAGAAATGACAATTTTTGAGAAAAATCTGGCCCGTTTTATCAACTCACCTAACACTATAGAATGTGATGATACCCACCTGTGCAAGAAGTGAAGTCTGTTTCACCTACAGCTAATGAAAATCCGACAACAAAAGGCAATTGGGAAGTGTTTGCCCTTGAACCTCCAACTAGACGTAATCCAGATGAATCTCCATCAACTTCAGTCGGTATGTTTTCATCATAGATATAAGAATCCTGAGAATGTTTAATAAAACAAATAAACTTGAAATCAATATCAATTGATATTATATAAAAAATAGATGAATTTCCTTCCATTTCAATCATTTCAATGAAAACTTTAAATCAATAAACAATTGATATTGACTAGAAAAAGCTCCAATTAGATGTACCTGGATTAATTTCATTTTACCTCAATGTGTTTGTTTTCATCATAGATGAAAATGCAAAAAATTTAAAACTTACAATTAGAAACACTTGATAGTGACTAAAAAAGCTCCAACTCAACCACTATACTTTCAGTAGAAGTTAATATTTCCATTTACTGATTAGCCCAATGACCACATGACTGAACCCTGAATGGATCAGGTGTTCATGGAATTAGGATACAAGTATGCTACATACCTCAGCTGAATTTCCTTCTATTTCATTTGGATTGTTTCCAACATAGATGTTGGAATCCTGAGAATTTTTTTTTAAATTGAAAGCAATTGATATTGACTAAATAACAACCACTGTATGGGTTCCATTTATTGTAATAACTCAATTATCTATTTAGTTCATTTAGTGTAATTAGATCTCATTTTTCAGACTATTACAAAACATGTTTATTGTTAGAAATTACAGGTTGTAATCTCATTTTAAATGTATATTTTGGTTGTGTAATCTGTTATGTTCAGTCTAACCAGCCATGCCACATTTTTCATGGCATTGTAAAAATTTTTTAAAAAATTAGGTACTGTTAGCTCTTAACCTGAAATGAATTGCTTTCAGGAAGCTTCTGTTCATTATCATAATCCACCTCATCTACTGCATAATCATCACATTCATAATCATACTCATCCTTAAAAAAAATACTTGAGACTAGTCAAATGGATAAGATTTAGCACCAGGGCTTGAAACTTATCAACTTTAAATTTCATTCAGAGGCTGGTTGTTTTTAAAAAATATTGATTATCTGCCTTTACTGATGCTAATTGGTCAGTTGTAATTCAAATAAACTCACACATTCAAAAAACTATTATTTCATATCTTTCCTACACATTAAATCTTTTGCACTTAGAGTCCATTATTGGCTTTACTCTAGAAAGCTGAGAGCTTTAAAAAAAGTAAAATAGGAGAACTCACAAAAATTACATAAAAATATAAAATTGTGCTTTTTTCTTGCAAATCATGTAAATTAAAATTAGAAAATAAAATTTGCTATAAATTTTTGAATAATACATGGTGTTTCCGTCCTGAAATTTAAAAGCCAATAATGGAGTTCCCAGTTTTAACAGCACAACATTGCATAAATTTTTGAAGTTTGTCTCTTCTTTTTTTGTGTGTTAATGGAATTTCCTGTTAATTTACAAACACTTCTGTTTAATTACAGAATCTTGCTTAACCTACCTCTAGTTGCTTTAATTTTGTCTGCTCACACATTCATATTTGTGTACAAGGTAAATAAGTAGATGAAAGAGAAATAAAAGATTAAATAAACAAATAAAAATCCTTTTGTTGATCAAGATCAGTGGATTTGTCTACACTTACCAATATTACAGAAGCAGCAAGGAATACAACTGATAACGAAACAATCATAACATGCAATGTTTAGATTACATGCTTCTGATCTTTATAAATAGCATGGATTGTATATCACAGCAATATTCCTTTGCTGAATCTTGATTGATGTTTAGCTAAAGAAATTTTAAGAATGTAATAAAATTCATTTTGTTGAACATACATTTTGCACTTAAACAAGGTAACAAATGTCAGTTCATATTTTGAAAAAAAAATCATCTAACAAGGAAAACTAACTAACAGACTGAAAAAAGACTGGTGCTTTTTAGCCCTTCTTCAAAAAGTAACTTTTTGTATTCAAAATGATATTTGTTGAAATTTTGCAAAACTTCAAAAGACTCACTGTATATAAAACTTATTTTTGTATCATTATTTATTAACCCTATCCCTGCTGGGGTACTTAAAAACCAGGATATGCTGGGGGGGGGGGTCAATTTGACCCCCACCCTCTCTAAATCCCATGTTTTATGTCCAAATATGACAAATGATACATAATAAGAAAGCTCTTGTGCTGTACTTTTAGAATCTGCAAATTTGCAAAAATTGAATTTTTATCGCAAAATCCAGTTAAATAGTGAAAATGTTTGCAAACAAAATTTGTCCAAAAAATGAAAAATTATACATTTTTGAAAAGCCCTTGATCATGCCATTGCAAATATGCAAAAATTTTTGCAAAATTTTAAATAACCTGATTTTCAATCAAAAAAAACTAAAAATGTGCAAATTTCCTTTGACAGGTTGTTTGCAAAAAAATTGCAATTTTTTTTTCGCAAAACTTGTGCAATCCGTTTCCTTATGTCATAGACTTTCCAAAAAGCTAAAGTTTATCAAAATCTGACAAGTGAAAATGGGTCAAAACAAAGATTTAGTTTGTTACAGGCAAAAACAGTCATTCAGGCAGTTTGCCTGAGGACTCAGGCAGTTAGAATTAAAGCCCGGTTTTAGGCCTAAAGGGAGGGCTTTGGGTATGTAAGAGAAGTAAAAAAATTTCAACAGGGGGGGGTCAACTTGACCCCCCCCCCCAGCAGGAATAGGGTTAACAAAAACTTTAATTCACATATACAGCCTCTGGAACGTTTTATATATAACATCACAAGTTGATAATTGAACTAGAACAATAAAAATAAAAGGATAAAGACAGTACATAAACAAAATAACAATTTGTTGTCTAAATATATCAATAGACTCAATAGTTAAATATTTAATTATCATAATCAAAATAGTTTATCAACTTACTTAAAAAGAAATACTACTATAAGTACAGGAAAAAATCTCTACATAAATATAATTTTTACTGTACCATGTATACATTTTACTGTACTTGGGAAAAATTTTCACCCCTGACTAGGCAGGTATATATTCCTGAAAATCCTGTCTAGTCTAAGTGAAGGGTGCAATACAGGTTGCTTCAGAAATATTTAGATCTCTTCTGCATATGCGCAGTCCAAACACATTTAGAAGTTATTAATATCTATACTTTATTGACAGTATATTCTTAATAACCTGTCCCACCCCCCACCCTTCAAAAAAAAATCCTAATAATTGAGAACTCTTTTAACTAAATTTGCAGTGTGCACATTATAACTCTCCTGCAAAGTGTTAAAAATTGAATTTCACTTTTAATGGTTTAAAGGAATTGAGTTTTAGATAAAATATTTTTTACTGGGAAGTTAACTTTATGAAGGGGATTTAGCCTTCATTGCCTTCATTTTGATTGTTTTCACACAAACTGTGCAAAGTGGGAGGTTATTTTTAAGTAACTTAACATCCCCCTGTTGGGGTAATAATGGGTCCATAATTTGCCAAATGGTGTTATACAGAAAGCAAACTATAAAATTGTATAATCAAAATTGAAAATTTATTTTTATTCCACAAATCAATAATTAAAGTAATGATTAATATCACAGTCTAATTTGTTTCTAATATCGACAAATATGGAATTGTCTTAAAATGTGATTGTTCTTCATATTCTACTTAATTTTGTACTTAGAATTAATAATACATTAGCAAAATGCTTTGCAGATATTTAAATGTTTTTCATAATGTGTTAATGATTAAATTATAAGTTGTTTATTAGGATAATATAAATGTAGATTTATTGCCTTCACAAAATAGAAGTACAGAGCTGAAATAAGAATTTAATCCATGTTAAATTTAATTTGATTCGTAAACTATTAATGTAATTCAACACATATGCTTTTAAAGTCATAAAATTGTTTCAATACTTAAACATCTATAATATAGGTCTTATATCTTGGTCTTCTTGATTTTAATAGTTTTGATGGTTCTTGAGATACTGTATTTCTTAACATGTATTGAACTGGAAAAGCTGATTTTACTGTCTTCTGGGGCTCAAGTGTACTCCGCAAAGGTTCCAAGGATTCTGGTTCCTCTGCAGCTTTATCTGGATTCTCATCTGCTCCAGCATAATCTAAACCCTCCAAAGCCTTTTTTAGATCTTCAGTTATTGAAGCAAGATCATTAACCACTGGTCCAGCAGTTGTGACATCATCAGGGACAATTATTTTACTTTCCTCTGAATTCCCAATAATACAAATGTCTCCTGAGTCTGAACCAACAGCATTTTTTACCCAATCAACAAGCTTACTTGTTCTAATAACACACAATTTTAAACTACAATGACAAAAAAGTCCCAATGTAAATAAATGCCAGAAAATATTTAAATTATATTAAGTTAAGAATTTTTGAAGGTGAAAAAGTTTCCAGAATATGAGGTTAAAGCAAAACTTGATTTTCAATACTAGTGCATTTTATCATCTGTTCTAATGTGAAGTCAGCCTTTTATTATTTGCATATAGTACTTTATTTTACGTAATTAGCATATGAGACAGATACAAAATTTTTTGCCAAAATACGAAAGTGGAAGATCAGAGCTATAATCTTTAGAAATGGACACCAATTTCAGAATCGTTAAGGTTCACTCATTTAATGGTAGACAAAATTTCAACTTTCCTGGCTTTTGATTGGCTGTTCTGGTTTCTCTCCCCCCCCCCCTTGATTGATTGGGTTATATGTATATTTGTTGATAGAAAATTAAGCTTAATTTAATCTTGAAATTAAAATGAATTGATCTGGATATCCACAATTCTAAAGTTTTCAGCTCAGATCAGTAAAGACTTTTTCAAAATGATAACCCTTAAGTCTGTACCTTGCATAATGGGTTGGGTTATTCATTCCCCCACAATTTGACAACAAACCTCTACCACCACTAACAGCCCCTGCAAACTTCAATTAAATTACTGTACAAAATGGAAAAAAAATTCTAAAAGTCTGATTTAAAAACATGTATGTAAAGATTTAGGCTATATTCCAAACATTACTGATCATTCAAAATCACAAATTTGGATTTGTACTGCTCCTTGCTAGATTAAAAAAAATTAAAGTTTGTTTGCCTTTCTTGCTTATAGCTACAAATATTGAAAAAAATTACTTTAATATTCTTATTAAATATTAATCAATAATCTTAATTAAAGATGTTATCAACCAACCTAGAACTACAAATTTTCCAGAATTTGCATCTTTAATAAAAACTGGTCCACCTACATTAATAACATCATAGAACTGGAATTAGAAATCTGTTATTCATAAGTCTATACCTGAATCCCCATTGCAAGTACCAGCCGATGTAACATAAGGGTATGCCTCTAAAATTAAAAGACAGTTCTATTGATTTATTTGCGTCTGTGAGAATGCTTTAATAAGTGTGCGCCTACCATCTTTTCCATCCGTAACTTTTCCATCAGCTGAGATTTGATAGGTTTTAATATTTGTCTTTTTATAGTAACCGATGCATAAGACCTCTGGAAGGTATTCAGGAGTTATCATTGAATAAGAAGCTAACAAGAACTGATTACAAAGTTCATCTGAAAGAACATCAATACCCTCCTTACTTCTTAACACTGATGAGTCAGGCTCAATATTTTCATTTTCCTTTAGAAAGCAATCTTTTCCACAAAACCCCCAAGAGTCTGTTGATTGTATGTTACCAATGGTTGAAGCATCATCTGTGACAGGGCACCATCCTTTTGATCCTTCCTCAAATGATGTTTTTCGAAAACAATCAAATTGTTTGGATGAGTCACTTGCTGTTATTTTGTGCAAATTTTTGTTACTGAACTCATTTTCAATTTCTGGATTATCAGTGAAAAGCTTTTGGCATTCTTCCGTCACAGGAGGATTCACATCTGTATTACATTTGGAGTCTTTAACACAGTAATGATTTGGAGACGGACCAAGATCATCTGTCATACAAGGAGTCCTGTAATACCTTCCAAATCCTGCAAGCATAACATTTTGAATGTTGTCAAAGCCAGCGCCTAAGCTTGAGTCTTTAAAATCACTGGATGGAAGACAGGCTGGTTCTGCATTTGTTGGTGAAGCTAAATGAATTAAAGTGATATCATAACCTCCATAGGTACCATAATTTCCTCCCCCTCTGTAACTATTCTTGTGGCGTACAACATATTCTATTGGAAGCTTTTCTCCTTTGGAAACATCTGCCACTTCATTGACATTAGCTATACCAATATATGCAAAAGCCTTAGGTTCAATTGGAAAAATGTGAATGTCTTCAGCCTCTGTAATCACACACTTGACCTTTCCCTGTGTTCTAAAAATTAACATTTATATATAACTTATTAAACTAAATATTTTTTATAAGTTTATCAAGATAAGATACATGAAAATAACGTGTTAGAAATCAGAACTAAGATATTAAAAAGTGCACACTAACTAGGGACTTTTAAGGTGATTAGAAGTTATCCTTTTATAACAAATCTCAAAATGTTAAAAGTTATTACAACTTTTAGTAAATAAGGGAACATTCATTTTAAAAATATTCATTCATTTATAATATCTTATCATAAATTCAAGTAAAAATTGAAATGATGTCTGTATCTGTCTATCTATCTATGTTGTATGCAAGTATTGCTTTGAACTTGATATTTGAGAATATACATGAAAAGTAAGTTATAGATTTGAGATTAATGGTGCACTTGATTTCTTTCTCACAAATTCTTTACTCTAACTGAATTAGAGTTTTATATTGAGATTAAATACCCCACAATAATCACAATAAATGAATAAAGATCTTGTCAAATAAAACAGAACTGTTCTTCACTTCATACTTGTTAACCGAATGAAACCCCACAACCATAAAAGTACAGTGAATTAAGGAGACCTTTTCGTATATAGGAATAGGAAAAATGACAAAAGTGACTAAAAACAATCTAATGACCAAAAAGATTTATATTACCTTGATCCCAAGCATTTTCTCAATTAATTAAAACCAATGATTTATTCTGGATATCAGTTGAAAAAGAAGGAATATAACACAATTGAAGTAAATATGTTGTTAATGCCGTGTAAGAGAATTACAATACAAAACTTGAATTTAGTGATTTGTTATAATTCTTATCAATACTTTACTAACTTGGGGTTTGTGAAAGGCTGCCCTTTTGCAGTCTCCTCTGCACATGCTTTCAGGTCATTCGTGTCAACCAAGAACAAAATACAATGGGCTGCACTGACTATCCAGTCCTTAGAGATAACTGACCCTAAAAACGGCATTGTTGTATTAACTCTATTCCAGCTGGGGGGGGGGGGGGAGTGGTCCCTGGGACACCCCCTGACGTTTTTTAGAGATAACTCATAAACTAATGGTCTGAGGCTGTTAAATTTTGTTGACTTTTCTAACTAAGACATATCCTTCACTTCACCAAATCTTGGCTTTTATACCTACTGCCTCAGGTATTCTGACTGAATGCCTTATTTTACCTTTACCCTATATCTATAATTAGACCTACTTTCCTTCATAGGATTTATAATTTTTATAGCTCTATGGAAAGCCTTTAACAAAAGGAAGCAGGCTGAAGAAATTTTGCAAAGATTTTTGCACTGATGCCTTTCGAGAGAATTTTCACATTTTCAAAATTCCTTGAATTTGCTGTGGTAAGGACCAGAAATGTACATATTATCATGTTGGCTCAATCTTTGTTTTTGCACATTTTTTGCTTAATTACTTGATATTGCAATGCTTTTTGTACAAGAAACACATTAGACAGATTATAATTATTTACAACTACTTAACAAGGAAGTGAAGGAAATTTTACTTTACAAAAAGATTCCCAATTATTAATTTCCACAATTTTTAGATGAAAATGTGTGTATTTCTCAAACACTTTGAAGGGCATAAATACTTAATTGTCCCAAGGGACATGAAATAACTTAACTTCCATATCAAAGGTCAGTAATGTTGGTCAAAAGGCAGTAGATTTTTAAAATCATGAGACAAACCCTGTTTAACAAACAAATTGGGGGAATAAAGTACAGCTGTTTACAGCCAAACAATAAACCCACCTGTGCATGAACTGAAGTCCTTATCAGTTGCAGCTAAGGTATATCCCACAACAAAAGGATATTGGGAAGTGTCAGCCCTGGCAGCTCCAACAAGACGTATCCCGGATGAATTTCCTACAACTTCACTGGCTGCATTTTCATCATAGTTGTAGACATCCTGAACTCATTCGATCAATCAATAATCTTATTTGACATGATTTTATTCAAGATTTTAATTTTGTCCAGTTTGAAAGAACTCTAATAACCTTCCACCCCTACTTTTGTGCTAAGGATATTCATATTAAAGGTTTATAGAGATATCCAATTACAATACAAGAACAACACATTAAATAATTCATAAAATTCCATAATTCAACAATTTACCTGTTTATTAGATATAAGTAATTAGTCAACAAAAATTATTATTTTCTTAATTTAAAATATTCAAAGTTGAGTAAATTTTACCTGTGAAAAGGACATGCCAAAAAATGCCAACATAGGTATCAAATATTTTTCCATGTTAAGTCACTTTTTAATTTAAAGCTCTTGTCTGATCAATTAAAAATTTTAAAAGGACATAACTTCTCGTTCCAGCCTTAATTGAGAACTAAGCTTTGAAATATAAGAAGCATCAGCACGCATTAATTGATATATAGTGTTTCATAAGTAATGAACCTCAGGGATGATTCACTAATGAAGTCAAATGATTCTGATATATTTTCTCACAGCTTTACCCAGTCTAATAGGTAGTAAAACAATCAGATCTGATTATATAATAATGATAATTATGTAATATAATGATAATATAAATAAAAAGGATGTTTCTGATTCTGAATCTTGATCACCTATATTTTCATCTTTTTCTCTGACCTTAACTTTTTTCCTTAAAGTTCTAAACTGAACTTGTACCTAAACCTAAACATGTTGCTCAATTTTATTCTGAACTGAAAGCTTAAACCTAAAAATGAAATTGTTCCCTAACCTGATTCTGAACCTGAATTGGGCCCTGAACCTGAACTTGAACATGAATCTGAACCTGAGCACCTAAACCTCAGTCAAACCTGATTCTGAACCTGAGCCTTAACATGAACCTAAAACATTGCAAAATCTTATTTTCTACATGTTTTCATTTATTAAAATATGCATTAGTTTTACTTTGGCAGAATATATGAAATATTAACAGTCTGCAGTTAATAATCCTCTGTTTTCATGTTTTCTGCCAAAGTAGAGTCAAAATATTGCATTATTTGATGAAAGCAAACTTATAGTGAATAAGATTTTGCCTTTTTTCAGATTTGGCTAAATCCATTACAATTTTCATTAAGAAATTCTCAAGTGTACTTCACATAATAATTCAAGGTCATCTGTAAAGATTATATGAAAAAAGCTTGGCACTTAAATTCTAGTGAAACAAATCATACCCTGCTAACTGCGGCAAAGTTAAGAGAAAGCATACATTTTTTTATGTATAAACAGGAAGATAAAACATCTGAAACATCTTGAAACTTAAATCTTGATTTGAGTCCACAGAAATGAAGATATCAGAAACAAACAGGGAAGTTGTATGGTAGATGATGGACTTGATATAAAGGAAAGAATGGAGCAAGAGATCATATTTTTTTCCGTACATTTTGATTTAACAAGCTGAACAGCTTACACACTGTTTTAAACATATTTTTGATGAATTACACTAGAAAGTGTCAGAATTATATGACAACCCATATTTTAGTTTCAAGAAAGTTATAGTCTGATTTATAGTAAAAATTGAAAAATGTCTGTACCTTATAGTTTCATAACAATTTTTTTGCATTAAAATTTTATTTCAATCTTAGTGACAATGCTATGTTGAAAAATATTTAAAAATTGTCTGATTTAGCAATAGTCATATTTGGTTTAATTTTTTGCTTAAAGTATTTAAAGAATTGTGCAAGACAATTATTTAACTTTCAATCTCTAGCCTCTGGTCGCCTTTAGTTAACTTTTTCACCACAAGGTGTGTTCCTTTGCTAAAGCAGTATATAGTTTACAACTAAAACATCTACTTTTTTACAGTCAACTATTTAACATAAATACAGGGTGTCCCAATAAATTAGTAAAGTGATTTTGTATAGTGATACCTACTGAGAAAGCTGTAATCTGTAAGAGTTTTGTCTACTATGTTCACATTTTGTTTGTTTATGTTTTGACTGCATACGGTTGTTCTTAGTAACACAAGAAAATTACAATATTCAAACAGAGTAAACTTGTCCCTCTTCACTGTTCATCTTGCGGAGACATTATTATACACACATCTTAACAGTCTTTTACCCTTTTCATAAAATAAACTCAAGCATACATGATAATATTATGGCCTTTTGAAATTAGGTATTACAATGCTAATTCATAGCGAAGAGGATATTGAATTTGTCGCTGAGTTCCCATGTTTTTTGGGACACCCTGTAGTAACAGGGATAAATACATTTTGGAAATAAGACTCAAAAACTTATCTTTTGATTCTAAAATGTGCTAAAAAAATCATAAATGGTTTTAGATATCAATTCCAACATATCTCTATACTTAGTCCCATCACATGAGTAAAACAGATACTGAAAGATACTAAATCTGATTAATCCAGATAGCGAAAATTTTTCTATTTGATTGTATTCTTTTAATTCTTGAACATGTTTAACTTTAAAAATTAAGATTCCTTTACAAAAGAATAGTCCAATGCAACATCAGAAATTTCCAAATGGGAGTAGCACTATGAGTATAGTGCATAAGTCAGATACTACGCTAAGTATCATCAGTAAAATCTCAATAAGCTGTTGAGCACTTCAGAAGCTCATGAGCTACTCTCAGTAGCATCAGTCAGAATATTCATATGCTCTCATCTGAGTGGTGAGACTATAGGTCGTTTTAATTTAAAACAATGTTGGGCTAATGATCATTTTTAAAAGCGATAAAAAATTATTGTTTTTTATTTTGTTTTTGTCTTTTTAGAAAAAATGATGGGTACAACAACTGCATGAACCATTTGATTTGAACTTTTAAAAAAATAAATACGGAAAGTCATTATGATTGTTTTTAAAAAAGCGTTAGTTTTCAAAACAGTTTTGCAAATATATTTTTTTTCTGATCTTAGGGGTTTCAATTAAAAAATGTATTTATTTAAGTATATATTTAAAATTCACAATTCAAAAATTTAAGAGGTATGTGAAGTAAAGTTTACTAATTGTAACGATTAACAAATTGAAACGATCATTTTCAAAGTGAAAACGATCCATCCCTACTCGCTACTGCCCTGAACATTTTAAACTCCAGCGACCTCTCAGTCAGTAAAATGGAGGTTAAATAGTCTGGATTTCAAAGATCAATAAAATATAGATTATCTGTTTGATTATGAGCTAAGTTCAGCCATTAGGAAACTGACAGATTCAAAGATCAATTTCTTTGGATAAAAAATGATTAGTGAGGCAATTCAAAAATATAATGCATTTATAGTTTTGGGTTTAAAGTATGATATTCAGATTGTTGCATATAGAGATGGGCATTTTTTTTGTTAACAAAGAAAATATTTTAAAAGGAACTAATTAAATGTTGGTGTTGTTAGGAAAAATTCATAAACAACGATAGAACAACAGGATCTAGTAGGGATGGATTTTTTCACTTTTCTGAAAAACTGATTGTTTTGAGAATTGTAGTTTTCAAAAACTAGAATGTTTAAAATAGATCATTTTATAGTTTTAGTTTGCTGTTTTTTGTTTATGAAGGTAGGCTGTTTTTTAATTTTTTATGATAGTTGAAGATCATTAACACCAGTTAATGGCACCCCTTCACTAGCGACTGATAACGGCAATTTTTCATAATAATGACATTACATTTGATGTTGACAACAGCTATTTGTTCACAATCTGCCTTTGTAGACTAATTTATCTTTATACACCAATCATGTTGGTGACAGAAATTATTAATCATTACCATATCCAATAACAAATCAAATCAAATCAGACTTATAGGAATGTCCTGTATCCATACTCCAAATTTAAGATGACTATACTAAGTCATAAATGAATCCTGGGTTAATTATTTGCTATTATAAAATTAAATTTAGAGTGTTCTTACACTCCTTACAAAGCATGATAGACAAAAAGTACCATTCTTTTAAAAATGTGGTTTTGACCCAAAACTCTTTACAATCTTTAATTCAAATTTTTACTAAATTAATGGGTAGTTTATGAACAATAAACAAACAAAATGAAAAAGAATGAACCCACCCATCTCTATTTGTATTAAGTTTGCATTCCTGGATGACAGTGTATCCTCTACATCAGTTTTGTATCAAGTTCCCATCAATTCCAGAAATAAAGATAAATAAATATCATATCATAACCATGGAAACAACTATGCTATGGCTGCTTTTGTTTCGATAAGAATCAATTTAACACATATTTGTAAAACTTATGCTCAATGTGTTATATTTTCTGTGGAAAAATAAATCATTAGATTAGATTAAAAATAATTTTCAAAAAGAAATTTTAGGGGTTTAGAAAAAAAAGTTGATTAATGGAATTGAGTTTTTGCCACAGCCTCTGATTTTCTAATCCCTATATCTCTGAAACCTGATGTTTTACACTATTGATATTTACAACTATAAATTCTATTAGATCAAAGATCCCATCAGGTTGCAAAGATATAGGGATTAAAATTTTTTAGTTTGTGGCAAAAACTCAATTTCCTATGTTTTAATGACTTCACACAATTACAAAGAATTTCTTATTTCCTCATTGCTTTTTAATGAAAGAAATATGGATAAGCTCATTTAATCCAATGCATGCAACTGTGTGTTTCCATGACTTTTTAAATGGATCTATGGTATTGTTGGATAGTTTTAAATCATTAAAAAATTAAAAGCGTATCAATAAAATATGTATATTTCTCATTAAAAATTTGTTACAAGAGTTTATATACAAAATCTTGTAGGTCCAATTAACATGTTATTTAATCTTTAAATGTATTCAATTATGGGTGAAGCTCTCCTTGCCCTGCCTTTCGCTTTTTGTTTGCGAACTGCTTGTCTAATTTCATCTTTAAGCTTCTCTAAGTAGTTTGCTGCTTTTCCACTTATTGGCCTGGGCCTTAATTTTCCTCCTAATGGAGCCCTTTTGGGAACTCCTGCTGAAGGTCTTGCAGCATTTAGTGCCCTTTTAGGTGCTGCTTGTAGAGTTGGTGCAGTTGCTTGACTTGCTGCTTGCCTTTCAAGGGGTGCTGCTTGCTGTGCAAGGGGAGCTGCTTGCTGTGAAAGGGGTGCTGCTTGCTGTGCAAGGGGAGCTGCTTGTACAGCTGGCTGAGTGGCAGTAGGTTTATCACCTCCAACCTCACATACATCTTTGCTATCAGGGCCCATTACTTCTTTTACCCAATCAGTTAATTTGATAACTCTATAAACACATTTTCATTACTGTTGTTCAACTTACTTTCTGAATTAAATAATCACCTTGCATAATGTGTAGGGTTATTCATTCCTCCACATTTTCCTAATCTTCCCCTCCCACCACTAACAGCTCCTGGAAAAAGTCTTTTGAACTTAAATTTTTAAAGCAAAAGTCTGTTTAACAAAATATTATAAATAAAAGCTTAAGAAATATGTTTAACATTAATAAAATTGTCCTTTCCTGTAGGTATAAAAAAATACAATATATAGACCCTTTAACAAAAATTTTTACACACCTAGAACAACATATCGATCCGATTTGGCATCTTTGACAAATACTGGTCCACCTAATGAAAAAATCAATTGTTAATCAACAATAATCTTCAACTTCATTACACAACTTACCAGAATCCCCGTTACATGTTCCTGCAGAGGTTACATAAGGATATGATTCTAAAAATTAATAGTGTTATCTTATTATAATTAAAGAGCATTGCTGAAAACTTACCATCTTTGCCAGCCAAGGGTTTTCCACCTGGTGATATTGAGTAAGTTTTCACGTTTGATTTTTTGTAATAACCTATACACAATACTTCTGGAAGATATTCAGGATTTATCCCACCATAAGAAGCAATGAGAAATTTATTACAAAGCTCATCATTTAGAATATCAACATTTTCTTTGCTTCTGAAAACAGATGAGTCAGGTTCTACATACTCCGAATCCTTAAGAAAACAATCTTTACTACAGAACCCCCATGATGAAGTTCCAGTTATCTCTCCTATTGTAGTAGCATCATCTGACACTTGGCACCAGCCTTTTGATCCCTCCTGATAAGATGTTTTTCTAAAACAATCCACTGGAGCCTTTCCTTGTATCTGCAATGTAATCTTATGTAAGTTTTTGTCACTAAACTCTTGCTGTACTTCAGGATTATTAGTAAGAAATTTGTTGCATGTAGCACTGACAGGAGGATTTTCTTCGGTGTTACATTTTGATTGTTTAGCACAGTAATGGTTTGGAGATGGGCCAAGCTCGTCAGTTTGACAGGGTTCCCTGTAATATCTTCCATACCCTGCTAGCATAACATTTTGAATATTATCAAATCCTTGTCCAAGGCCTGAGTCTTGAAAACCTGGGGCTGGAAGGCAAGCTGGTAGCACATTTGTTGGGGAAACCAATCTTAAGAGAGTTATATCATATCCACCGAATGTTCCATAGTTTCCACCTCCTCTGTAACTGTTTCTGTGTCGTACAATGTATTCTATTCGTATTTTTTCACCTTTATCCACGCTTGCCCTGTCATTTACATCATTTATACCAATATATGCCTCAGCATGTGGTACTACAGGATAAATTTTGATGTCACCACTCTCAGTAATTGAACACTTTACTTTAGATCCCATTCTGAAATTTTAGATTACATCATGCTAATATTTTTAAAGACTTAAAAATAGTGGAAATACTTGTTTAGGTGAAACTGTCCGTTTGCAGTTAGTTCCGCACATTTTTTCAAGTCCTTGGTGTCAACCAAGGCTAAAATGCAATGTGCTGCACTCAACACCCAGTCTTTAGAAATAACTGATCCTGAAAAAAATAATAAAAACAATTTATGCTTTGCAACATTCTTTTGATGTAATATAAGAATTAGTTTGTCCTTTTATAAAGTAGAAAAACTCACCTGTGCATTGTGAAAAGTCACGGTTTTTCATTGCTGTTAATGTAAAGCCTATAACAAATGGAAATTTGGCAGTGTCAGCCCTGGCAGCTCCCACTAGACGGATCCCATCCCCATTGCTCTTCTCTTTAGATGCTTCTTCATCATAACTGTATTCTTCCTGTAAATGTGTACATATTTGAATGTACACTCATACATACATGCCTGATGTATACATCTGTGTTTTGAATCTAATCTAATTAATCTGAAGTTTTGATACTAATCAAAGAAAGCTATATAAAATAATCAATTAAATTGAATTGCATATACTGCTAATTATGTGCTTTGTTACAATTAATTGGATTAAAATGAGAGTTTCTTTTAATAATTCAAGACAAAGTATCTAATATGAAATATTGATCTTTATTAATTGGCTAAGTTAATCACCTTGCCATGAAGAATCATTCATCAAGACTTTTTTGTATGATAAATAATTAAAAACTTTATCTAAATATTTGTTGAATTTTAATAAAACAATGCTTCAGAAACACAAAAAAAAGTTTTAATATTTGACCCTATCTCAAATTACAACCCCCAAGTGATATGGAGGTTCATTACAAAAATTAAAGAACTGTTATTTGTGTTTTGTTTTTTAACAAATATTAGCATGTGGCACATGTTTCTGCATCCATTATTTAGGGCTTTAAAAAAATAAGTAAATCTGTAGCTCTAAAAATGTATTAACTATTTTTTCTAAACACTAAACAACCTTTGGACTGTCATCTACTAAACCCTATGTCTCAAAAAAATAAATCCTAAAATGTGTGTACAATTATGAATTTTTAAAAAAGTAAAAAAGTTTGAGCACTCTAGTATACGCCATTAAAATTTAAGTTATAAACCATAGTGATACAACTAACATTTAAAAATGATCTACTTCAAAAAATTGTCTGAATAATCAAATTGTTTTGTGCTTTGTTTTTACTTCCTTTTTACTCTAAATGTATGCTCTTCTGGGATTTTGAACAAAATTTGCAAAAAAAGCTATCAAATTCTTACTGATAAAACTGAAGTCTGAAAAAGTATTGCAATCAAGCAGCAAATCACTTTTATCATGTTTCCACTTTAAGAATTCTTGTTTAATCAATTATAATTTTACAGCACATATTTTCTTGTTCCGACTAAATATGAAACTAAAGCTTGAAATTTAAGAAGCAAGAATTTTAATATGATATTTAATTGAGATGTAAGTGTTTTAAAGTACTGTAAGAATAAACAAATGATTTCCCGATAACTTTTAAGTCCAAATAAATCCAGTTTAATGTTAAAAGTCAAAGCGAAATGTTAATGTAACAGAGAAAAAATGGTAAAATCAAACATAAGAAAGTTAGTTCTCCTAAAGTAGTATTGAATATCTCTAACCGGCAAAGTTTAATTTCATTCTTTTACAACTTAATTATTCAATACATGTAGAAGATATTTATCACTTAAATCTTTTTAAAATTAATGCTTAAACCTGAACTGTTCCCATGATTTTCTCTTGGTTGGCAGTCTTTTTTGAGTTGTAGCCAGATTGTGATTGCCCTTCCTAATGAGTTTTGGTCTTTGTTGAGTATTGGACAGTGGAGGTCGCCCCTGTGATAATCCCAAGGTAGCCAAAGACACGGCAGCAGAGTTTTGAGCATCACAACTTAAACTCGTCAAGCTTGCTTGTGGTTTGGATAAATTTGCATAGGATTCAGTTGCTTCCACTCCTGCCGGATTACCAATCTCACACAGATCCTTTACTTCAGGACCCATCGCATTCTTTATCCATCCAGCAAGTGCTTTAATCCTGAAGAGAAATTAAATCTAGTAATGACAACAACGGACCAATTCTGTAAGTAAGAATTTATCTTGCATAATGGGTTGGGTTATTTATTCCACCACCCTCTACCTCCACTAACATCTCCTTAAAAGCTTTTCATTCTAATTTACCCAATAAAATGAGGACGTCCTGGACAAGGTGTAGGGGATCATCAAGACTCCCCAAGACCCCCAATTTTCCAAAAAGTATTAAATTTCACCAAATATTCTGTAAAATGAGAAATAACCATTAAAACGTTTGAAAATATTGTGTCAAGTCAAAATTAGACTCCTTCCCCCCAAACCCAATTTAGCCTGCTCCCCCCACATCTGTTAGAGGTCTTTCACAAGACCTCTTAAGACTCTTTCCAGTTTTATGAGGATGTCATATTTCATCAATATGTGTTATGTCCCACCCCCAGGTTAGCCTGTTCCTCCATATTTAATCCACATCTGTGGGAGGTCATGGTCAAGACTATTCAAAACTACCTCCAGTTTTACAACTTTCCCAGGCTTTCCCTTCTGAAGACAAAAGTCTTACCCCCCCTCCCCCTTCAATATGCTGTCACATGGTGGACTTGATTTTTCAAGCTGTGAAAATGCTGTCTTTGGAATATATCTGCACATTTGTAATTTTTTAATAATAATAATAATAATAATAATATTAATAATAATAATAATAATAATAATAATAATAATAATGTTAATAATAATAATAATAATAATAATGATAATTTTTTTTAGATGTTGCATGTCTGAAAACCTAAAATATCACATTTTTTTAAATCCGTTAAAAAACGTTTTCTAAAAAAAATAAAATATTATAAAATATAAACTATATACAAATGTGGCGCAAGATAATCTATGACTATAGGTTGTAATATCTGAATGATTTGTTTGAAATTAAATTGATTTCTTTACGGTCTAAGTCATATGTTGCAATTTTCTGAATTTGTATGGGCGCTATGTTATTCGGTATGAGACATCTTTAACAATTTTCTCCTCTTAGACGCAACAGAAGTAAGATTAGTAGCGATCAAAAGCGCTTTTTTATCCCATTAACCCTATACCCCCTTTCATTTTTCGCAAACACTCCCTTTAAAACATGCGATTTTTCATTCAACAAACAAACTACTCATTTTTGAATTGATTTTTTTAAATTTTGAATTGATTGTTTTTAAAAAAAAAAGTTGTTGACAGAATTTTGCTGATGAATCTGAGTTTATTGACAATTAATTATAATTTTTTTTTCAGGAACATGTTTTTTATCACAAGAAATAACCTGAATTTTTATTTGGACCTAAGGTTTTTCTGATCTAAGGGTTTTCCAACAAAAAAATTATTTTGTCTAACAAAGGTTTTTAATGATTATTAACAAAGGGTCATCATTAATGAAGGTTTTCAATCGTCAAAAATTATAAAAAAACGATCCTTCATTATTGAAACAAAGAACAAAATCAAAAAAAAAATACTTCTAAATTTTTAATTCAAAATAACTATCATTTTCAACAAAGATTGTATTTGTTTTTCATCGTTTTAAAATCTAAATTTTTTTTTATTAAGTGAAAACAATCCATTCATAAATATATCCTTAAAAAGTTCTTAATTTGCAAAGATAATTTTGTCTCACCAGAGTCCCCTTTACAGGTTACTGCAGATGTAACATAACGATGTGTTTCTAAATACAAAGAAATAACGTCTAGTAAAATTGAAAAGAAGTTTTCTAAATTTACCATCTGGGCCTGCAACAGCTTTGCTCCCAGGTGGGGTGGAGTAAATCTTGGTGTTTGATTTTTTATAATAACCAATACACAACACTTCTGGAACATATTCAGGGTCTATTTCATCATAAGAAGCCAGGAGAAATTTATTACAAAGCTCATCATCTAGAATATCAATGTTTTCTTTGCTTCTAAATACATTATCATGAGGTTCAACGTTTTCAACATTTTTCAGAAAACAATCTATGCTACAGAACCCCCATTAAGAAGTTTGTAACAACTTTCCAATCTGTGAAGCATCATCTGTTACTAAGCACCAACCCTTTGAACCTTCCAGGTAGGATGTTTTTCTGAAACAGTCCACAGGCTTCTCTCCCTGAGACTGCACTGTAATCTTGTGTAAATTTTCACTGCTAAACTCTTTTTCAACTGCAGAGTTATTTGAAAGGAATTCTTTGCATTCTGGACTTCTGGGAGGGTTTGTAGATGTGTCACACATAGACTTTGATTCACAATAATGGTTTGCTGATGGGCCCAACTCATCAGTCAAGCATGTTGGTCTGAAATATTTCCCATATCCCCCCAGCTGAACATTTGAATGTTATCATATCCAGATTCAAGACCCGAATCTTTAAACTTAGGAATTGGAAGGCAAGCTGGTTCCACATTTGTTGGTGACATCAATTTTGCCATAGTGATGTCATAGCCTCCATAAGTTCCATAATTTCCACCTCCTCAATAACTGTTCTTGTGGCGTACAAAGTATTCTATCTGAATTTTTTCTCCACTTTCTTCACTGACTTTATTTTGTATTTCATTCATCATGATATAGGCTTTAGCAATAGGATTGATGGGATAGATCTTGATATCTTCAGTCTCAGTAATCACACACTGTTTAGACTGGTTCTTTCTAAATTTGTTACATGTTGTGTATAAATGAAAACTATCTAAATAAACATTATGTTGATATTTAACTCATCCTCTACACCCCATATGCATCAGGCTAAAATTGTGCACTAATAGCTGATAGAGAGGGAGAAGGGGCAAGATATAGTAAAACATTGTTGGATTCTTGTACACTGAATTAGTGATCTATGTGCAGACTGCAGACAATGGAAGTTTTTATACAAATAATTTCAATCTTGAAAATTTGAAATCAATTTTGAATTAGTATTACTTCTTGAGTCATCAATCAAATTTATCTGACAGGGTATGACGGCAAAGGATATCAAAGAGGTATTAATCCTCAAGTGTTCATAAGTGTTTAACAAGGAAAATATTAAAATTGGTAGGGCATGGCATTATTACTCCTAATGTTTTTCAATTTTACTGTGAGGTACTACTGTAAAAACTCCGCTCCAGAATTAAATTTATCAGCAAATTAAACAAAAGTGTTTCCTAGGATCGTCAATAAAGAAAAGCGACAAGAAAATTAGAATTTGTTCTACAAATAAAATTAGGAATCTGACATCCATACATACATTTAAAGAAGTAATCACTGTATGTTTGTTTATTTGTTGGATTATGAACCCTCTGACCAATTTGCCTAAAATTTTGCTTGTGGTATTTGTTAAAAAGTTGTAGTCAAAAAGCCATAAGTTGAGTAGGTTGACCTTTAAAGGGAGAAGTTATTTAAAAAGCAAAGCTAGATTCCCTTCCTAAGCTAGTTATAACATTTGTTAAAACCTACTTGTTGATGTAGGAACCCCCTTGAGCTGACACTTCAGCACACATCTTCAAGTCCTTTGTGTCTACCAGACTTGAAATACAATGTGCAGCACTGAGAATCCAATCCTGGGAAACAACAGATCCTATAAATAATATGTTTCACCATTTTTTCACCAACAATACTGACCTATGATTCCCCCAACAGACAAAATTGGTCTAGCGAACCCTTTATTAAGTAAAATTCCCTTACTTTCCCTGTACAGTAGTTGTAAATAATTATTACTGCCTTTTCACAAACATTACTGACATTACATGATTTCCCCAACAGAGGGTGTGTTACATAATGTTCTTGGGACAATTATGTGAAATAACAACACCCTCTGCAAATTTTTTGGGATAAAATTGGTGCATTTTCATCTCAAAAGACAATAAAATTGTGTACATCTACTTTTTCGGGAAATTACAAATTTTAGATTACCACGGGTTCCCACAACCAATTTTATCTACTAAATATTCAGAGCACAGCAAATTGGTTTGAGAACCCTTGATAAAGTAAAATTCCCTTAACTTCCCTGCAAAGAAGTTGTAAATAATTATGAGTGGATGGTGTTGTTTTAAAAATTCATATTTCTAAGGGAAACAAAGAAAGATTTATTCAAAAGGTTTATTTTAAAATTCTTACCAATTTTGAAAAAATTCTTTACCAAATTTGAACAAAAACAATCATTATTTATAATGGTTTTACTTTTTAGTTTCAGAAGCTTAAAACTAGCACTAAGTTAGTTGTTTTGTAACTGAGAAACAAAAGGAAATATTAAAATTAAACCATAAACATTTACATTCAATAGTTTTATTTTTTTATTTTTGATTATGAATCATTGAATACTATGCCCATCCAAGTTTCAATATTAATAATTTGTCATGTATTTTTACTACATTTTACTGGAAACTTTCTCAATATTTATTCTAAACATTTGCTAGCATCATTGTTCAAATAATTTACCCTCAAATACACAAACACCAACACCATTGTGTAAATAAAAGTTCAGAAATATCTTAATTATTTGTTTTTAAAATGTTTACATTTAAGACTCCATAATTCACCCTTAAATACACCAACTAAAACTAACATACCTGAACACATGGACTGCTCTCCTTTCTCACTGGCCATAATAGTAAACCCAACAACAAATGGATATTAGGCTGTGTCTAGGGTTTCCAACGTAATAGATTACTCTCTTACGCGTAATTACGTGCAGTTACGCGTAATAATTTTCATTTCGTGTAATTTCGCAGGATTACGCGTAATTGGGGAAATATTCATTTCGCGTAATTACGTGCAGTTACGCGTAATAATTTTCATTTCGTGTAATTTCGCAGGATTACGCGTAATTGGGGAAATATCCATTTCGCGAAATTACGGCGTAATTTTGCGTAATTCCTACAACGTAATTTCGCGAAATTTCATAATGATTATGCGTAATAATTAAAACTATAATTACGCGTAATTACGGCGTAATTTCGCGTAATTTCTACGAAGTAATTTCGCAAAATTGCGTAATAATTACGCGTAAAAAGCGAAACTATAACGGCCTAATTTCGCGTAATTTCTACGAGGTAATTTTGCGAAATTTTGTAATAATTATGCGTAATTAGCGAAACTTCAATTTCGCGTAGTTTCTACAAAGTAATTTTGCGAAATTTTTCCTTAATTACGTCTATGAAATTTTGATGTTTTAACTTTTAATTTAAATAAAACAACTAACTTACAAGATATTTCTGAGAATTAATATGTACTTTATTTATTACGGAATTGTTACGTAATACGTAATTTCGCGTAATTACGCCTTAATTACGCAAAACTAGACTTTCTTTCGTAAACATAATATATGCGTAAGTACGCGTAATGCTCCTGCGTAAGTGAAAGAAAGTGTTACGCGTAACGAAATTACGACTGGAAACCCTAGCTGTGTCAGACCTTGCTGCTCCAACAAGACGAATCCCATCTGTAGAAGTTTTTTCTTTAGATGCTCCTTCATCGTAACTATATTCCTGAGTAAATTTTATTAACAGAGAACCTTAATTTTGGTATTTCAGGTTTGCTTTCATTCAAACAGGAATTAGAGGGATCTGGGGCCTTAACATTTTGTGATTAGATTAAGTTAAATCACTTTTTTAAACTTCACTAATTTAGCTACATTTCTTTACTTATTTAGGTCCCTGGAAACATATTCTTTAAGCTTCTACTTGTATAAAACAATATGCTTTTTATGATATAAGTTATAATCCTAAAACACTGATATTCAATTTGATGTAAAGTTGATACCAGAATAAAAGGGTATGATTCATTTATCTTTTAAAATGGGCAAACACTTATGTAAGAGGGTAGAGTAGTTACTAAATGCTTTAATGTAAAATTTTATATAAATATTGTCTCTTAAGTCTCATCTACAGTGCACTGAAATCTACACAACTTTTAAAGTAAGTAATAACATTATTGGAAAGCCTTGACTTCAAAGTGTTGCAATGCCTCAAACTCACTTTTACTTTTTTCTAGCCATAGACAAATATATTTAAAATGCAACGCACTAGTTTTTAGCTTAAGCTTGAAAGGAGTAATTGGAAAAATACTGCTTTGCATGAGAGCATGCACATGTTGGTTTGCAGTGAATTTGTTGAATCACTAAATTCAATCTTTATTCTCTTAAAGTTATAACTTCTGCTTTAGCTATCGTTTTGAAAATCAATGCTATGACCCAAAATTTCTCAAAACCCATTTTTTGGAGTTTTATCTATCAATATCAGATTCTAACAGATCAATATTTTCTGCTCACACTAAATATTTAACTAATAGTAAACTTGAAATTTAAGATTTAAGAATTGTAATGTATAACTAATTGATCATAATTTTATTCTGGCTGTATGCTAAAAATCAAATGATAACACATAGACTTTTAAAGGAACTGTAAGCTTACTTACAATTTCAAAGCTTTACATTAGATTTCTTTCTAATTTATGCAACAATGACCTTAACACAGTTATTGGTAGAAACTTCCATTGCAAATGATTGTTCTGTAAATATTTCTGATCTTAGTAAAATGTTATTTGAGAAAAAAATGAAATATTTTGATGTCCCATTGGACCATGAAAGTTCCCGTTTTACAAGAACTTTTAAATACAAGAACGAATAATTTATATGTCGAAGGATTCGATGCTTACGTAATAACTGAAATGAAAAATATGTTATGTAATGGGTAATGATCAATGTCCCCTATTTGTGCATAATTTTGCATATTTTTCTTTTTTCTTTTCTAAAACTATATATTTAGAAATTTATTTAAACAAATTTAAACTACACCCTTTATATATGTATTTATATCTTTGTGTGTGAATAAATCTTCATAATATAATAAAGATAAATAATTGTTTTGCAAAATAGCATTACCAAGCGAACAGAATTAACTGGGAAGTTAAAAATTAGTTTAGAAAAGTCACCTTTAATGTCAGCTCAAAGTTTGATAAAAGTTGACTTTTGATAACTAGTTCACAAACTTTTCATCCCAATTTTGAAATGGGGAAAACCTTGTGAAAAAAACCTGGATAAAAGTAAACTTTTTCATAAAATGTTGTACAAAAGTTGATGTTTCATCTCAATTTTGAACTAGTCTAAAACTTGGAACAAAAAGAGATAAAAAGTCAACTTTTTCATCACAGTTTTGAACTAGTCAAAAAGTTGGGATAAAAAGTCATAAAAAATCGACTTTTTCTTCTCAGTTGTAAACTAGTAAAAAACATGGGAAAAAAGTGGTAAAAAGTCTATCAGTTTTAAACTAGTCAAAACTTTGAAAACAAGTGGTAAGAAGTTGATTTTTCATCCAAGTTTTGAACTAGTCAAAACTTGGTAAAAAGCAGTAAAAATATTACTTTTTCATCCCAGTATTAAACTTGTCATAAACTCGGAACAAAAAGTTGTAAAAAGTCAACTTTTCAACCCCAGTTTTAAGCTAGTCAAAAATTCAACTTTTTCTGGTCTTTAAATTTGACTTTTTCACAACTTCTATTGGAAAGATGTTGCTTACCAGATGTCTCTACATTTTATATAAAATTATTCTTTTTAGCCCTATGACAGCTAGCATTTTTAAGATTTTTATGATTTTTGATGGAATCAATTTGTAAGAATTCAAAAATTTACAATGATTGATTGATGAATAAACGTTGATATGGGCCATGAATATGTATGGGTGTGCCAGTTTAAATATATGTTTTTTTAACTTTAATAATTTATTTTAATTAAATTTTACAATATTTTTAAATTTCAATATGATATCAGATGGAAACATTTTGAGACTTCTATATTTCTTGTTTTTTCATTCTTTCTTCTTGATTGTCCATTCCTTGTCCATCCTTCAATCATACTTTGGCTAATTTTGGAAATATAAATAAAGAATTTTTTGGATGTTTTCCACAGCTAGCAAAATTGCAGAGGCAGAACTATTTTTTGGAGCCCTGTATCTAAATTCTATATATTGAGAGTGGCAAGGTTACTCTCTCCCTTCCCTGCATTCCTAGCTAACACAATTTCAATAAAATTTTCTTGATGGAGGGGGAGAGGGGTGAGGGGGCGTTTAACACATTTTCCATTTTTTTATCTTGAGTAGGACATAGAGGGGGGGATGGGACGTCTGCCATCCTGTGTATTTGTCTTTATTTGCTATCGGTGAAAAAAATAGATAGTGTAAAGCTCAAATCCCCTTCTAATTTTTCCTGTTCAAAGTTTTCTTCTTCTTTCTTGTTTATCTTGCTTTAAGCAACCATCTCTACTGTCAAGAGATTTCCCTTCTACTTTTTTCTTTCTGTTCAATTTTTTCTTTCCTCTTGCTTCTTGTTACTTGTTTTTACACTTTAAGGCCTTTCCAAATAGTTCTTTTAACATTGAGTTGTGGAGCAGGTAGGAGAGAGATAAGGAGGTTTGTATGAAGAAGGGTATAGGGGATTTCTCCCTGTGATCCTTCATTTTATACTGTTTCCCAGTTAGGGGAATTAAGGAATTTACCCATAACTGCACCCCATATGCAGGTATCTTCCATGGCAGTCCAGTCCTCACATCTGGTTGAGTGAAAACTGGTATCGTTGTGCATGGCTTGTATTTTCACAAGAGGTTAAACTTCTCATTCAGTGCACCAAGCCGAAGATTAATCTTTGTTTTAATCTATGCTGTAGGATACAAGATGCGAAACTAAACTCAGCGCTTCCCCAGCTGCAATTCTGTGACTACATAGTAGGTCAGTTCTGCTTGAGAGAAAGCAGGCAACTGGTTTAAATATATGTTTAAAATTGGTAATACCGTAGTGTTTAAAAGTGGTAAAAAACTTTGACTTTGAAAGTCAATAAAAATAGTCTATTTAAACACATTTTAAAAATTTTACTTAAACTTGACTTAAAAAGTTGACTTAAAATCAACTTAAAAAGGCAAAGTTGAGAGTCAAGTTTTGTTTGTTGCATGGGTTCATTCATAATTTTGAGTGTAAAGTTTAAAACATTTATTGCAAAATAAAATATATTCCCCCCCCCCCCCATTTGGAACTTTAATTAAATTAAATTTCAAATTAAATTTAAATTAAAAGAATATGATTTATGAGGTCTTCTTTGTTTTGATTCCAATTTTGTCAAAGGCAAACCATCTGCTTTTTCTTGGGGTTTAGTTGGAATAATGTTGGATAATGTTGCTTCTATATCTTCAGGATTACCAATCCCTTGAGATGATCCTAAGTTTGTCAACGGCACAGCAGCAGTGTTTTGTGCTACATGGCTTAAACTTGTCAAGCTTGTGTTGGGGTTGGTTAGAATTGCATTTGATAAAGTTGCTTCCTCTCCTGCAGGATTACCAATCTCACACACATCCTTTACATCAGGACCGATGGCATTTTTTATCCATCCCGCAAGTCGTTTAACTCTAAAGAGAAATTAAATTGAATTAATAGGCAGGGAACAGGAATAAAGGGAACGGAAATGGCGCTGGTCCGGCAAGAGAAAGCCAGTCGCACTGCTTTGCAGACCAGTACAGTAAACTGACACACACTCTTCTGGTACAGACACACAACATGACTACAGTCAAGGAAATTGTAGAACAATGTCGTCGATTATAATTAAATTTGAATAATGAGTAGTTTATTGTAATCTTAATAAAATTATATTCTTTGCATGAAAATTTGGCTTTACAGTGTTTACTTAAATATGTAAATAATATATTACATGTATATTAAACATATGTAAACAATTAACAATAAACAAATGTACTCTCCTAGACTGTACAAATCCCGAGATTCTTACGTACTGTATAAACCTACAGTACAAACCTTTGGTACAGTAAACTGACACACCCTCTTTTGGTACAGACACACACACATGACGTTTCCGCCCCCTGTTAATAGGTCAACTGTATTTAAAATTTACAGTGCATAATGGGTTGGATTTTAAATTCCATGGACCACCGTCCACAATGATGAAGTTAATCAATCATTTATTTTTACTGTTTCTCAATTTACTTTCTGAATAAAATAAATCACCTTGCATAATGAGTAGGGTTATTCATTCCTCCACAGTGTCCTAGTCTTCCTCTACCACCACTTACCACTCCTAATATAAAGCTTTTCATGAAATTTTCGGTTTTTATCATAGTCAACACTTTTACAAAAATTGTTGGATTGTACTTAAAGTATTGAGTTAGAAATATTTTTTTTTAAGTATGACATAAAAGAAGGTGGATTTGAAAAAATTAATGGCAATTTATCATAAATACAAAATGTTTACTATAGATGCCAAAACAGCTGGATGAAATTGGCTGGAATTTGTTGAGGGAACCAATGGATCCCACAGGGAGACATATGCTAAGAAATTGAAAAACTGCAAAAAAAACTTGGTGTAAATTTTATGGGTGATCAACTTTGGCCATTGCACTCCCCTCTATTTGCATTGGATTGTTTTTGAATATTAAAACAATATGTAAAAAGGCGATTTTTATGCATATTGAAATTGCCAACTGGAAACCAGTTTTTATAAAATTAAAAATTGAATAATTCACTAATAAAGGCCAATTTAATTTCTTCAAAAAACATTGATACTAAAAGATTTGTCTTGAAACTTTGAATTCAGAAATCATGAAGTTGTAAAAATCGTTGATAATTTAACAGAAATTTGATTACTTACCTAAAACAACAAATTTTCCAGATTTTTCATCTTTTACAAACACAGGTCCTCCTAAAAAACATGATTTTAAAGCTTTACCAATTATAATATCAACTATTGAACTCTAGAGTATACTATTTTTCTAACTTTTTTGTAGCGATGCATCTGCTATTCTTAAGCACATTTGTAATTTAAACATCACATTTTTCTTTTCAATTATTTAAGAAAAAAATCTTCTTAATAAATGATGATCTTGGCTCACCAGAATCCCCATGGCACACTCCTGCAGCTGTAACATACTGATAGATTTCTAAATACAACAGAAAAATAAATCAAGAAAATTTCAAAAAAGTTTGTAATACCTACCATCTGGGCCTGCAACAGCCTTGCCACCAGGTGTGACGGTGTACATCTTGATGTTCGATTTTTTATAATAACCTATGCACAAAAGCTCTGGTACATACTTAAGATTTTTTTTACCTAAAGCAGCCATTAAAAACTTATTACAAAGCTCATCATCCAGAATATCAACATTTTCTTTGCTTCTAAATACATTATCGTTAGGTTCATCATTTGAAACATTTTTTTTAAGAAAGCAATTTCTGCTACAGAACCCCCATGAAGAAATTTTAGACAGCTTTCCAATCTGTGTAGCATCCTCCGAAACTGAACACCATCCCTCTGAACCTTCCTGATAGGAGGTTTTTCTAAAGCAGTCAACAGGCCATTTATCCTGAGCCTGCACTACTATTTTGTGCAAATTTTTGCTGCTAAACTCTTTTTCAACTTCAGGGTTGTTAGCAAGGAATTCTTTGCATTCTGGACTTATAGGGGGGTTTTGAGAAGTGTCACACTTTGAATTTTTATCACAATCATGGTTAACTGACGGGCCCAACTCATCAGTCAAGCATTCTGATCTATAATATTTTCCATATCCTGCCACCTGAACATTTTGAATGTTATCATATCCAGATCCAAGACCCGAATCTTTAAAATCAGGAGTTGGAATGCAAGCTGGCTCCACATTTGTTGGGGACACCAATTTTGCCATAGTAATGTCATAGCCTCCATAAGTTCCATAGCCGTGTTCTCTATAACTGTTCTTGTGTCGTACAAAGTATTCTATTTGAATTATCTCTCCCCTTTCTTCACTGACCTCTTTTCCTATTTCATTCATCATGATATAGGCTTTAGCAATAGGTTTAATGGGATAGATCTTGATATCTTCATTCTCAGTAATCAAACACTTTACTGTCTGGTTTCTTCTAGAATAGATTTTCAATTTGATGTGCAAGAAAATTTCCTTATAGTTTTTTTGCAGCAAAAGTGAAATGGCTGCTAAATAAGCAACATTAATTCCCTTATATTCAATCAAAAATAGCTTATTTTTTAGTAAATATAAGCAATTTTATATTAGTTAATTTTCTTTTGCTGCCAAATAAACTAATTTTAAAAAGGGTTTTCATTTGCAAAAAAATTGTGCATTTTAATAAAAAGTACAAGTTTTTGCTTTATCTGCGCTACATTTTTGCTTGAAAGAAAAGCACTTTGCACAATCATTCTCAAACTTAACTTTGCGCAAAATTTCACCATTCCGCTTTTGCGTTATTCTTCTTTGCACAATTTTGTGGAACAAATTCTCAATAAAAGTTTAAATAAAAGTGTAAACTGTATAAATTAGTTGTCTATGAGATTGCACTTCTTTGCATATTTTTGTAATTTTTGAAAAGGAGCTGATTACTTGCCTAAAACTCTTTCTTTTTTGCAATCTGATGCATAATGGCACACTGCAAGTCAAGATGTGCGTGATATCACACAAAGTCGAGCAGTATTTTGACAATTACACATTTTAAACTTGATAGAAACAGAAACATAGAATTTTTAAAATGTATTTGTCTAGGCCTACAAAAAAGTATCAGTGGGTTGGTGAGGTAAAACCAAAGGCCAGGCCATTGCAACACTTCAAAGTCGAGACTGTATAAAAATTGAAGACTAAGTTTCAGTGTTTTTTCTATTTTAATCATATGCATTCGACTAGCAGTAGTCAATACTTGAAATATCAAAGTTTAACACCACACAGAGATTCAGACATCTAAAAACGTACTATACATCAATTTTCAATTTTCAACTTTCTAATTTCTAATCTATTAATCTTTGTCCCTCAATTAAAAGATTTTGTAACTTAAAGTAGCCCATTGGGAGCAGCAGAATCATAATTTATTTGTGTGTAAAGGAATTGAGTTTCTGCCACAAACATCTGATTATCTCTCTTTGGATTTTAATGTTGTACTTGTAGACCTCTGATATTTATAACTTATAAATTCTGTTAGATTAAATAGTCTGAGTTTGAAATATATAAGGTTCACACCATCAAGTTACAAAGATAGAGGGAATAGAAAATTTGAGCTTTTGGCAAAAAACTCAATTTCTTTTTGAATAAAACCTTTGAATAAATTTGCGCGAAAATTATGCAACTTTTTGCGCAAACAATATGGTCAATTTGTGGAAACCCTATATGAAAGTCAAAGAGAAAAAATGTTTTAGAATCTGCTTTATTATCACATATTTCTAAACCTACTTGTTGATAAAGAACCCGCCTTGAGCAGACACTTCAGCACATATCTTCTCGTCCTTTGAATATACCAGGGCTTCGAAACAATGTGCAGCACTGAGAATCCAATCCTTGGAAAGTACTGATCCTAAAATTACCATGCATTTATAGAAATTCAGTTTTTTTAATGTCTTTTTGCCTTACATACCATCCCTAATTTTGAAATGCCCAATTTCTGAATTACCTTTTTTTTATTATTCTTGATTATTTTTTAAAATTGGTTGTTATAATATTTTTAGACATATATATATCCACTGCAAAAGGTTTTGTTCAAGTGACACAACTTTTAACCTGACGGTCTCAACGGAACAGTGTCCACCTGGAAAATTTCTTTTGATCCGAATTCTGATTTCTGGCTTGAGGAATTCCGCCTGAGGAATGAAATTGCTCTGCTTTTTCATTCCGATCTGTTCCGATCGTACATAAAGTGGAGATCGATACGAGCGCTGCGGCTAGGATGGGCTAGGGGGCCGAGCGCTGCGGCCACGGGTTAGGTTAGTTAATACACTTTCTGGGCCGAGCGCTGCGGCTAGGATGGGCTAGGGGGCAGAGCGCTGCGGCCACGGGTTAGGTTAAGTTAAGAAACTTCCTGTCACACCCATGTACAAAATTGATCCAAAAATCGTATACTAGGACAGACCCAATATACTGTTTAAACACCTTAACATTAGTTAGATGATTTGTTTCAATGTAAAACGTAACTTTTTTGCCATTTTTGCCAGAGCACAATTACAAGAAACAAAGATAACAAAAAAATGCAATACAGACACAGTAGTTGCTAATCTTATTTTGGGTAAATCTGTTATGGCATGCCAGCATATAATAGTGATCTATGTTTGGGTGTTGGTTTGTCTAATTTTTTGTATGTCTGATCATAACTCCATATGACCGATTTGCCTCAAGTTTTGATTGTAGGAACTTGGTAGAAGAAGAGAAATGTTCTTAGGTTGGTTTGACTATTCTAGTAAAAGTTAGTTAACTATTGAGAAAGACAAAGCTGGCTTCCCGAGCTTGTCACCGTTAAAATTTCTACATGGATTCTGCCAGCCTACATTTGTTGGATATTAAATTCACTAGGTTCACCAGACGGGTTAGTATGAGTAAATGTTTATGTAGCAGGATTACAATAGACTGGTAAATCCAAGGTTATAATGCAAGGAAAGTTAATTGCAGTTGCGTACACTCTGCATACATATTGAAACCAGTTTTCTCTAGGCGGAATTTGTAAACAAGAATAGATTCATCAGTGTTCGTTTAGTGTCTGAGGAGGATAAAAGCATTTAATTTTTATAATTTTGATAATTCACATAATAGTCTATAATGACCAGAATATTTCATTGTTTTTTTATGTGACAGATGGATCCCATGTCAGACTGTGACATCCATCTTGCAGTACAAAAGATGCATACACCTCTGAAATAACTTTCCTTGCATATTATAACCTTTTGTAAATTCTTGTACCGCACCAGGTTTAAATCATGCAACGATAGTACACACACATGCAAATCTCATACCAGTGCAGTGTATAGGGTGTCTCAATAAACATGGGAATTGAGTGACATTTTAATATCGTCTTTTAACATAATCATTTGATTAATATAGTGCAATACCTTCTGAGAAACCTGTAATTCATAAGATTTTGTCTGTTTTGTTTACAATTTGTTTGTTTATGACGTATTGACACTTTGTAAAACAAGAAAATTACAATATACAAACAGACTAAACTTGTTAGTTTTCATGCTGTTCACTTGCGGAGACATTATAGACACATATTTACAGGCGTGCATTTAACGTTTTCATAAATAAAATCTAGCAATTATGCTAATTCTTAGAAAAGATGATCTAGAATTCGTCACTGAATTTCTATGTTTATTGGGACACCCTGTAAATTAAATCATTCCTATCCTTACTTGTGCGTTTACTATTGTTTTATAAATCAATGCCATGACCCAAAATTTCACTGAGGCCATCATTTCGTGTTTTTTTTTTTTTATCAATTTCCGTATTTAGAAGAACATTATTTCCTGCTCACATTAAATATTTAACTAAAGAAATCTTGAAATCTAAGATTCAAGAATTAAAATAATTGATTGATTATAATTAGGGTCCAACTAATTATGATAACATTGATAGGAAATGATAAATAATTTTACACATCAAAAGATTCTGAATTCTACTTTTCTTACGAAAGTTGAATTCAAATTAAATTTATCATTCTGCACAATTATTCGAAAATTTTCACTTGTCAAAATAAGTTTGCTATAATTACACTTACTATGATAAGTTTGAGATAAGATACACATGCCTTGAATAACAATTACCATAGATACAATTCACTTGTCAAAATAAGTTTGCCATAATTACACTTACTATGATAAGTTTGAGATAAGATACACATGCCTTGAATAACANAATGTAAAAAGGAAAAAAAGGATTTTTTTATTAGTTTGATGCGAGGGCGTGGTGGAATCAGGATAAAACATTTTAAATAAGGACAACATTTAGTATTTTGTTTATTAATTTCTTCCCAATTAAACGTAAAAACGGCCGAGCCGATTGGTCAATTATGTGTCCTTAAATTAAAAAATACGAGGAATTTGATAAATAAATGAAATTTACAGAGAGTAATTGATCAGAGATAAAACATTATTATTAAAGGGACTGTACGCGTAAGTTAAGGGACCATTGACAATCCATGCAAAAATTACAATGCCCGATTCACAACGGTACCCTTTAAAGGTTTGTCAGGTTAAGTATTAAATATTTTTATTTAAAAAACTGATTATTTTCAATTGTAGATTCTCTACAAAAGTGACTTGCGCATTTATGCTGTGGGAAAACGTATAGGAATTATCAGAATTAAACGTTTTAAACCAAGAAATTATCTTCCACATGTTGACCAGGAAAAGATTTTAAGGGTATCGTTTTTGCTTGGAGGGTAACTTGAAAATTCAAGCTAAAATGTTTACAGGTGACTTTTTTTACAAAATTTTTACTGATTGCAAGAAAGTTTTTTTCTATCAAGGATTTAATATAATTTAGCATGGTTATATTTTTTTAGTATTGTCGATCAACTGATTTTTTTGGAATTTAAAGGAATTAAAAGGGATTTACAGGGATTAAAATGGATTTAAAGAGGTTAAAAGTGATTTAAGGGATGCAAAGGGATTTAAAGGGATTAAAAGGAATTAAAGGGAATTTAATAGGGTTTAAAGGGATTTAAAGGGATAAAAATCGATTTAAAGGGGTTGAAAGGCATTTAAAGGGTTTAAAATGGATTTAAAGAGGTTAAAAGGGATTTAAGGGATGAAAAGGGAGTTAAAGGGATTAAAATTGATACAAAGGGATTAAAAGGGATTTAAAGGAATTAAAGGGGATTTAAAAGGGGTTAAAGGGATTTAAAGGGATTAAAAAGGATTTAAATGGATTAAAATGGATACAAAGGGATTAAAAGGGATTTAAAGGAATTAAAGGGGATTTAAAGGGGTTAAAAGGGATTTAATGGGATTTAAAGGGATTTAAAGGGGTTAAAAGGGATTAAAAAGGATTTAATGAGATTTAAAGGGATTAAAAGGGAGTGTAAACGTAATTGCAAGTAACCATCGATTCTAGGTATGATCAAGTATGAATTTATATATGTTTTTTTGACTGGCTTATTTCTTGCCAAGGAAACAATGAAAAAAATAAAGAGAAGGTAAGACTTTCCAAGCTTTAAAAATTCAAAATCAAAGTGTCAAGGGTACCTCTGTGAATCAGGCATCTAAAATTACAATAGCAGGCCATTTAAAATGCACATTTTTCTTGCCCCCCCCCCCAGAAATTTTTAGGGGGGGAAAACATTTTTTTTCTTGCTACGGGTGAATTATTTTCCCTTTTGCCCCCCCCCCTTGCTGAATGTTTTGTTGCGCGCCTGCTTCTTTCAACCAAAAAAGTACACCAGCTGCTCTAAAATCAGGCAGGTTGCCATTCTATACTCAATACCTTGATGGTTGAAATATGGGTGAAACTTCTTATTGTTTCTATTTCTTTAATTTTAAATGTTCAGCTCAAGGTTTTCATGTGCATTGAATTTTATTTGATTTGTGGATTTTCTTTCCAAGTTTAACGGATTTCACGTTTTTATCAAAAAACTTCTATTTACTTTCTACTTCTCCCCCTCCTCCCCCTCTCTTCCTTCAATATTAAAAAAGTTGGCGCCGTCCGGTTCAAATTTGAACCCGTCTACCGTCCTATACTTCTCTATAGCATAGAGAGATCCAGCAAAAACATTTGATCCGCCGGAAATAGTAAAATCATGCGAGAATTTAACCCTGTTATCTACTTCGGCTTGTTTTGGCTTGTGTGTATTTACTTTTATTTCTTTTCGACTTGTCTGTTATTTCATTTATAATGGTTTTCGGCTAGTCATGAAAGTGATATCTGTTTTTATTTCAGATTTTTTTTGGCTTGTCTGTTATCTGCTTTCATTTTTTAAGGCTTGTTTGAATTTGCATATTTTCGGCTTGTTTATGGTCTGCTTTTATTTCGGCTTGTGAGTATTTGCTTTCATTTCGGCTTGTTTTTGGCTTGCTTTCTATCTGCTTTTATTTCAGCTAGATTTCGGCTGGTCTGCTATCTGCTTTTATTGCGGTTTGTTTTCAGTATATCTGCTATCTACTTTTTTACAGCTTGTTTTCGGCTTATCTGTTATCTACTTTTATTACAGCTTGTACGTTTTCGGCTTATCTGTTATCTACATCCATTACTGCTTGTTTTCGGCTTATCTATTATCTACTTTTGTTACCGCTTGTTTTTGGCTTTTCTGGTATCTACTTTTATTTCGGCTTGTTTTTTGGCTTATCTGTTATCTACTTTTATTACCGCTTGTTTTCGGCCTACCTGTTATCTACTTTCATTATGGCTTGTTTTTGGCTTATCTGTAATCAACTTTCATTACCATACTTGTTTTTGGCTTCTCTGTTATCTACTTTCATTACAGCTTGTTTTCGGCTTATCTGTTATCTACTTTTATTACCATGCTTGTTTTCGGCTTATCTGATATCTACTTTTATTACGACTTGTTTTGGCTTATCTGTTATCTAGTTTTATCTCGCCTTGTTTTCGGCTTATCTGTTATCTACTTTTATTACGGCTTGTTTTTGTCTTATCTGCTATCTACTTTCACCTTGTTTTGTTTTCGGCCTATCTGTTGTCTACTTTTATTACGGCTTGTTTTTGGATTATCTGATATCAACTTTCATTACTGCTTGTTTTAGCTTATCTGTTATCTATTTTCATCTTGGCTTGTTTTCGGCTTATCTGTTATCTACTTTTATTACGGCTTGTTTTTGGCCTATCTGTTATCTACTTTTTTCTCGTCTTGTTTTCGGCTTATCTGTTATCTACTTTTATTACGGCTTGTTTTTGGCTTATCTGTTATCTACTTTTATTACGGCTTGTTTTTGGCTTATCTGTTATCAACTTTCATTACGGCTTGTTTTCGGCTTGTCTGTTATCTACTTTAATCTCGGCTTGTTTTCGGCTTATCTGTTATCTACTTTCATTTCTGCTTGTTTTCGGCATATTTTTTATTTCTGTTTTAGCTTGGCTTTTTGTAATTTAATTCTTTTTCTCTCTAATTCTTGCTCGTCTGTCTGTTATCTGGTTCTGTTTCTTTCTGTTTTAGCTTGTCTGTTTGTTATTTGGCCCTGTTTTCTGGTTCTGTTTCTCTCAATTTCTTGCTTGTCTGTTTACACAGACAAGCAAGAAATATACTATATACTCCACATCGGTTGTCTTCTATTTCTCTCTGTTTGTACATTGTCTATCTGTTATTTGGTTCTGTTTCTAGCTTTTCTGTCTGTTACATGGTTCTGTTTGTGCCTGTTTCTAGTTTGTGTGTCTGTTATACTTGATTGGTTCTGTTTCTCTCTGTTTTTTTTCTTATCTGTCTGTTAAGGGGTTCTGTTTCTCTCTAATTTAGCTTGTCTGTCTGTTATATATTTCTGTTTCTCTCTATTTTTAGTGCGTTTGTCTTTAATATTGTTCAGTTTCTCTCTGTTTTTAACTAGTCTGTCCTTTACATGGTCTGCTTCTATATATTTCTAACTCATCTGTCTGTTATATGTTTCTGGTTATCGTTGTTTTTAATTTGCATTGCTTGCATACGTTTAATGTAAAATACTTGTTTTTTGGTGGTTTTTTTTTTAACTCGTACAATAAAACAAAATGTCGTCTGTACTTCTTAATTTGGAAGACGACGTTATAGAAATAATTTAAAAGCAAATGTCGTTATGGTTTAATTTTGATTTCAGATTTGTTGTCACAAGAAAAAGAAAAAAGTTTATTGAGAAAATTAAAGTTTGGGGGTAATGATAACTCTAGGTTTTTGTCAATAGATTTCGTCGGTACAAAAAGATTTTTCCATGTAGAAGACGACATTTTGTAACGTAATTATCAACCTCAAAATCTCACATAAACGTACAGGGTGTTCCGTGCCACTGAACATGACGTTTATAAATAGTTATTTTTAGTTAAACAAATCTTTTGCTTGATTATATTTTACTTTGAAATCAATTTTAATATAACCTGACTCCCATTTAATATTTGTATTGATCTTTGGTATCAAACAACTGAACAAATAGTGGAAACATTCACCAACTGGCATGTTTCGTGGGACACCCTGTAGTATAGAGAGTATGTAAGTTTATGTAACTAGGACTGGGCGTCGTTCCTGGGGAAGGATCGTTCTTTCACAAGAACGAACGAAATTATCAAGAACATTCCCATTGTTCCGAAAAAAAGAATACGTAGAACATGTTCTTAAAAACATTGAAACTTTTATTAAAAGAACAAACGGAAATTACTTGAACAATCAGGAACGCATTTTTATTATCAGGAACGCGTTTCAAGTCGGGAACGCATGTTGAAAGTGTACATCTATATGTAAAAAGTGTAGTATGTAGAAAATGTACATATATATAGAAATTGTGTATATGTATAGACAATAGACATTACAGTATATGTGTAGAAAGTGTATGTAAGTTAAAATTGTATGTATATATATATATATATATATATATATATATATATATATATATATATATATATATTGTAGAAAGTGTATTAAGTTTTGAATAAACTTGAAGGTCTGATCCTGGAAAATTGCCAGGAAAAGTCAAGCATGACTCACACTAGGCCTAAATACGGTCACAAAAATGTGTGGAAAATTTTACAAGTGACCTCTTATTAAATAAATACTTTCCTTGAGGAAACAGAGCTTTATTTACCAACCAAGATTTAATTAAGAAGCATTGATGAATAAAGTTTAAAACTTGTTCTTCAATTTCGTAATTTCTTTCACTCATGTCTATTTACTTTCCTTCCCAAAAGCAGAAAGTTGTTACCTGAAAGCAGGAAGTTGTTACTTGAAATCAGAAAATGATTTCACTTAATTGTACATTAAGATATTGTGGTTTTTCAAATCAAATAAGCGTTATCAATGCAAAAAGATTATATTTGCATGCAATTTTTAGAATCTTGCCGAATTCCTTGCAATTCTAAACTTATTCAACTAGGCATTTCTTCGTTTTAAACATTAAAAGCTCGTCATGAGTTTAAAATTTCTTATATTGTGCAAAATCTTATAAAATTTTATAAATATACTAGCTTGGGAACCCAGCGTTGTTGCACAGGGGGGTCATAGTTAGTCCCACCGATTATTCGCGCTTTGCCGTAACTTACGATTTTAACAATTTTTCGATAAAAGTCGATCTAGTCAACTTAGAATCGCAAAACTAAGCAAAGATCATTCCTGTGGCTCTCCCGAGTTCCCTTATCTAAATTTAAGGCAAATTGGTCCAGGGCAGGGGCGGATATAAGGATTCTGTAGGGGGGGGTAAAAATTTTGA